TGAAGCTTCCAGACGAGGGCCAGATGCGTCAGGAGATATACTCAAAAGCTAAGACACATCGTTTCGTCCCACTGCAATTCTATATATTCCAAGGTCAAGGAAATCACTACTTCTCTTCCGAAAGTAGTTTATCTTTATTCATAGGAACACATCCTTGACCTATCGCATTAATCGTCAAATATATACAGAGGATAGAGGGATGCATATGGCTGCAGAAAATAAGATTACGAAGAACAAATCATCAATTTCTCCATGGCATGGACGTTAACAAAACCATGACACATTTTTTCTGGTGTGAACTGGCTTTAGCATATATGTTAACGCCATACTTCCAACAACCAATACAGTATTAGTATCATGCAAATGTTGTGCAATGATTTGACCCAAACTTTTAAACGTTTGACTAAAATATGCAGGCCAGAAAGAGCCATGCATTGTTTGCTTGATGTAGTTGTGTGAGATATACATTTCTTTCGGTAGAAAAGACAGAATGTATTCCATAGAGTCTAAAAACAGCCGTGCCATCCATGTTGCATGCTGTATCTCATTACGTTGTGATTTGGGTAATGCGTGCCGTGCATCTTCCAGATCGATCCAACGCTCCAAGCTTCTATGGTCAGGGGTGAAGGAAAAGGTTACGATTTCAGAGAACCTTTAAAGTCAGAGTTGACATAATGATAAGTTTTCACTAAAATATCAAAGCTTTTGTAAACTTAAGAATTTATCAATGCTTTTAGATATAGAATGAGAGATACCTTTGGCTAGATAAAGGCTTCGCGGTGGTGCAGTGCATGAAAAAGTGTGTGACCTTTCCGCGGGGAAGATATGTTGATTCAGGCCGACCAGACTCAAGAGCAATATTTATATGGAAGTCAAGGCTTTCCACCACTCTGATGGTCCTATTGAAAAAATAGTCCTGAAAATAAGTATTCACTTCTTGACTAAGGGTGAACAAAAATTCCTTACCTGAAATTGAGAGATGATTTAATTCCTCATTTAGGTTAATACTGTCATTTAAGCTTTGGTAAGATTATTGGCTTGCAATATTTTTCACTGAAATAGAAACAAGCACAGCAAATGGCGACGTTTCCCTATGATAGGTGTTTATGTAGTAGGTCTTCTGCTCCTGATGCTCTAGTAAAGACACCCTGCTGTTCACTAAGACTTACACAACATCTCCAGATAACTAACTACAGACCTTGTCTTATATTTAGTTCAGGCTTAGCAAAAACAACGATCTAGCATCAAGAATTCTAGTGATGTATGTACAGGCTATCAGAGTCTGCGAACGACAGAATAATGCACCCACGTTCCTATCGAATTCCATCACATTTGGGCCATAACCAGTGCACATTAGGGATGTACATTTGCTGCAGGGCAGTAAGCAATGAGCCAGCTGCTTACTTCCATGCCGCTGGACAAACTTGGTTTACGTCCAAACGGAGGAGCACGCATGCAAACCCGTCAATACAAAAGTTAATGACTAAGTGAATATTACAGAATATTCATTACTATGCTAAGAAAATTACGAGGAATGTAACTGCTCACACAAACCCAATTTTCTAGGTATTATTAGGATTGCATTGAATAAGTTTATGTCATCTATCTTGACACATCGTTAAACATATTGAGCTGGGTAAACCATGGTTATATTTATTGAATTGTATTGAATATCATTCATACTCCCATTTATCCATACCATCTGCGGCGCCAAATAAAAAGTATTTGATGCTTTATCTATTGTCTCTTTTTGCCGGATGTCAGCCCGACCAAATGGGCCATGTGTAACATACCGCGCACATTATGGCTGGAAGCCTTCCAAATGTGTGGATGTTCGGCTTGCTGCCTTTAATAACCCTGTCTGAGGCATAGATTTCAATTATAGTTTGGCTGCAGAGTGCAATCAGCCCTATTTAGACGTGGGTAGATTTATGGACATAAAGGTGTGCGAGCCGTAGGCCCATCTGTCTAATGTTGCCTTTTAACGGTTTAATGAGCACGGTTCAGACACCACAGGGTGCCATCTATCTGTGATTAGCTTCCTCTTTACAAAATTCCAGGTTATATAACTAAGGTAAATGTGGAGCTCTGAATTGGCTTTTTATTCACGTCAATCTATTTGACATGTTCTCAATGGCAAATATATTCTCACTATGTGGTGATGGGGGGCAGGCGAGGGGGAGATGTATTGAGTGTAATTGTCTACCAATGTATAGTATATATATTTAATGACCCTATGAAGTAGCTATCACTTGTTGGTGGTCTGTTACTGTAACATTGAAATATTAGTAATAAAAGCCATTTACACTGTTATGTAACGTTGTATGGACCGATGCACGAACCTCAATATACAAATGTCATTAAAATACATTTGAAAAACACTGTGCGTCATTTTGCGAGGGTAGCAAAGATGATACATGGTCTACCGTAGTGTGCAATAATTCTTTCTCCCACTAGAAGTTACCAACTAGTATTTTAACGGAAGAATTTGAAGTGAAAGGTTTCTCAGATAGATAAAATTATTTTAAGTTCCAACGAGCGTTATATCACGTCACATCACTACCTTTTCACGATGATCTAATTTCATTTATGCGAAGATAATTCAGTTTATTACTTTTCCAAGAACGGCTAGGGCGTGTCAAATAGATGGAATAATCTGCATGCAAAATAACATGACCTTGGTGGTGACTTTCAATTAAGTCAATTGATGAATATCGTGCAAACTTTTTTCCCGTGGAGGCGCGACTGCTACATTTTTCAACATGAAAGCAAACGTGTATCGTGAGGAAGCATCAACACTGCAGTGTCTCTGATCTTCTTCATTATCATTACGACTCCTTCCCTTTGATGCTCTTTACTTGATTACCAGGGGACAATTCTATATCTACACCGACGCCTCGCACCACTTTCTTCTTCTTCTGCGAGAAGCATCGGTGTAGAATAGTCCATTAGTCCAACCTGATTCCCATTCTGTTTGCGAATGTTATCGGCTGTGACGAGGTTGCGCGATCAGTTAAGCCTGGTTAATTGTTGCCCCTGAGTCTAATTATCAGACCGTAAATAGTTCAAAGGCGGCAGAAGAGGAGCTGTATCAAAACAGACTCTTATCGCTGATGATGTACGATTGAAAGAATTGGGCTTAATCAAAAACAGTGCATGCAGCCCCTCTTCAAAATCTGTGACCAGAATTTCATCACTCACATGCTCTTCAAATGAGAAGTAGAAAGGAAGTAACCAATTAAAAAGACTGCAGCTTGCATCCATCCATCCATAAGACTCAACCATGTTGCACAGGCGGCTTCCAAAACACATGGGTCTTATTACAATGACATGGGTCAAAAATGCTTAGAAAAGGTGTACTGACTTTCAGGGCGTGAAAACCTATTTATTTCATTAGATAGTTGCTATGGATTTACATGATTATGCCAAATAAGCTGTATTCATCAAAGTCATCCTTCCCAGAGGGATTAGAGTTTTGCAGGATAGGACCTGCCATTGCTGATCCGATGTAAATGGTCCACAGAGGATTACCTTGAATTGACTTGCTAGAGGCGACTTTGTCATCGACCGCGCACAGTAATTTTACGCCAGGCAAATCTCGAACGAAGAGGCGAAAAAAATATCTCCGTAAACATTACCTGGCGTAATTACTTGTCACTCGCACGCGCCGAGGGAATTACCTGGGTGCCAAACCCTCATTACCTAGGGATATGAAGGCTTCCGCGGTTTTATGAAGTAATCATGCTAGCTTTGTGTTAAAGTAGCTAATTTGCCGCTACTGCGAAGCAAACAAAGCTGTGTGCGTTGTTGAGAAGAAAATGGGACTTGTATTCAGCAGGGGACAGGGTTATAATGGCATCTGGGGAAGTAAACGTAATTAAAGCCCACGGACAGACAAAGCTCTGTCTGAGAACATAAAGAGGTAGATTGGTATGAGCAGCATGGCGCGGGGAATGATACACAGTATTTGCATGTTGAAAGTTTACCGCTTATAAAAACCAAAGCTCTGTTCGGAATTTCAGTCACGCTAAACCATTTGAAGAACGTAATTTGGAAAGAAACTTTTAAGAAACTTTCAGCTACATTTAGCAGTTAGTGATACATAACAATTTTACTTCCGTGCACAACAACCAGACACACAGTCTGCAGTGCCCTACTGAACAAGATGAGCTTGCTTGCAGTCAGACGCGTAATGACAAAGAAGCTTACGCCCATCCTAAATCCAAGGCTAAATGTATGTTATTTAAAGGGTAGTTACCGTTTTTACATGTCTAGTTTATGATTATACACGGTAACGTGAACAGAAATAATGACCGTTCGTCTCAGACAGGATACACGATCATGAACTACTGAGATCCAGGAAAGATGCGCAGCGCAGGTTACGTCTTCTCAACTTGGCTGGGTGACTTGACTCTACCATGACCCAACCCCCAAAATTGCCAGAAGTCAATTTGCCGCTAGGTAGCAAGGTTCCTTTATTTGGTACGTCAGACAAATCCGTTCTGTGGGCTTGGGTAGGAAGTGCAGGAAAGGTTTTCTCTGAGAGTGATTGACTGCAAGGTAGAAAGTGCTAGTGATGCTCAGGAGTCTGTAATAAGAGAATAGTGAACAGCAAGAGTCTGTGATAAGAGTAAACTGTAAGTGTGATCCTCTCTATAGACAAAATATTTTATAACTAGAAACGTAACATTTGCAAAGCATTTGCAAATGCATAATGCTTACCTTCGTATATGATCTGCTCTGTTTATTCTTACTCAAATACATTCATATATATGGTCAGACAGGAGTCTAAATGCTTCTTCTATAAGATTGCAACATTATGTAACCCAACACCATTTACCATGGTGATAGACATCAACAAATCAGGTCATTGGCCAGGTCAGAGGTTAGTGTTTGGAGAAGAAGAAGAGGAAAGTGAGCAAAAACAATATGTTTTCCTTCGGTAAACATAATGAAACACCATTATAGGTTGAATCTAACATACAGGTTTGTATTTTCAGGTCCAGAGTGCGTTTACGACTACTTCTCTGTTTTCGACGGCGTGAGCGAAAATGCCCGGATGTTGGGAAAGTTATGTGGCGCGCATGCGCCCTTCGTCATCCTCTCCAGTAGGAACCATCTCTTCCTGAAGTTTTCCTCTGATTCATCTGTGACATCAAGGGGGTTTATACGCGTCTTATATATCAGAAGGTACACTGGCTTTTGATCATAAAAAGCGAGCTTCTATGGCATGATATAGTGCAGTGCGACAGTCTCCAAGGACACCGTACACCATGATAAGTCACTGTTATAACTTAAAATTATTCCCTAACGGATCATGAATATAATATACCGGCGCGAAAAGGCGTAACGTAGTCCCATGGCATGCGAAATAATTGATCAAGAACTTCCTTGATACATTATCGCCACCTTTCCACCATTATCTAATCGGAGTAAAAATCACAAATGAAATTAGTCCGACCAGGATTTCCCACCAGATCTCCTGGATATGCAATCTTCACTTTTATCCCTTCTCTATTCTTCAGAAATCGGGTTACAATCTGCCAAGCCGCTTATTGCGTTGGGACCACCTCTTCTCCCCACGCCTGGATTCATCAACTTTACACGAGATGACTTTTCAGAAGAAGAAGATGATTCTTTTGTTACTCGGCAATACCTGATCCAGTCCAGGATCAGAGAAAGAGTTGTGCTAGAGTGGACTATCATCGGAGGAAAGCGTCGATTCAGAAAATCATGTTTAGAGGTAAAGAAGACCCAAAAATTTCCATTTATATTAAAAGCAATATAGCACTCATACCGTCAAGGCCACAAAGGTTTGAACATATTTTGTACGGTGCACAGTAAGTAATACCAATTCATTACCGTATCATTTCTCTTGAGATGTTCAGCTTATCCTTAATGCTGTTTTATGGGCGCAAAGTGACACGAGAAGACACTGTGGTGTGCCCATAGGTGTATTCTACTTTGGATGATCACAAAATTACTATCCTGAATAATAGATTTATGTTGCTGCGGAAATTGGATAGTGATTAGACCTTAGTCTCTATTCATCATAAGCATTAGCAAGTTGTAAAACCGACAAGAGCAAATTTAAAATGGCGCCTGTGAGCTATTCACCCACATTATGGTGGGGAACGGTAGTGGTGCCTGTTGACTTGACGTGTTTTAGAATTCATGGAATGGGGATTAGTTATAAATCCAATCAAAACCGGGATTAAGAGCTCGTCATTAATGTTACCTTAACGGCTGGTGTTTCAAATTGGCCGTTAACATTTTATGGCCGCCACCCGTATACGTTAGGCGCGTAACACATGACCCCATTAATGTTATAGTAGATTAATAACCCTTCCTAATCTTTTACCTAAACTCGCGGACCTGAAATGTATGTGTCGGTGGCATGACGTGATTGTTTCACATACTCATACATACATCAGAGTTTCTATTAAAGGAATACGATTAATCACAGCAGTTTTGTCGTGCCTGATACCAAAACAATTCTAACCGGCTGTATAACCATGGCTGAGAGGGATAGCTTCAATCAACAGTAGGCAATGGTGTAGATGACAGGTACCTGATGTATGCACATACCTTGCTGAGTGATGCTAGTATTAATCTTAATGTCTGCTTTTTTTAATGTTAGATTTTCAGCGGCGATGCCAAAGCAGAGGTAGCAGATTTGTCTGTTAGATGCAATGAGTCCAGGTCATCATCCGGGGTATTTCGGGCCAAAGGTCACCGCGTGTATCTCCAAGTGACCTTCAACACTGCACTTGACAGGTTGAAGATCTACCTCCGCCATTACGGGGAAGGTGAATCCATTTTGATTACGTACCAATGTAGTTTCGCCAGGTGTCACATTCATCTAAAGTACAATGGTGTTAGATTGTGAAAAGGCTATAACACTAAGACCGTTGGGGAACCGATAGGTGGTCAAAACCATTGGTCATTGAGACCATCCAAAGATCATTGGCCGAACATGGGATGACCTAGGAGATCCTAAGCGCTCACTTGAAAAACATTGAGAGATTTATCAAATTCCTAGACCCTCAGCGGTGTCTCAACGGTATCTCTGCTATGGAATCCCGTTTTATTGAAAACTCACTCCTATGATTATCACCATTCTGCAGATACTCTGGATAAACTACCACCATGCATCAGCAGCCCTGGTGGTGGATCTGATGTCGGCAAGGTCAATTTCGACGATGCAATTATTCGCCAAAACCTGCCGGGTCGAGGTAGTCCTATTTCATACGGTTTAAACCACCACCACATCCCATGCCTCTTCTGGTCAAAGTTAAGTAACCCTTATCTGGAGGGTACCGAGCAATTATCAACGCCAAAGTAACGACAGGTAGCATGCACGCACTTGCTCAGGGAACCTGATATTACCTTTTGGCAAGGTTGTATACTCTGTGGATTCTGTACCTAACGAGAAGGTCCCTGGTGACAGCTGAACTAACCCCCCTCCCCCATAGAACTAGGCCGATCAATAAAGGAAAGTTACCCTATCATAGTGATTTAAAGTTGATCCGTGGCTCGATATTGTGTCACCCTGTGACTATCAGTGCAGACGTGGTGGCGACAGCTGCAGTCGGTAACGCGTGCTGGTAGCCACGGCAGACGTCGACATGGGGCGTTTTAAGATTTGATTAATGCTGGGTATGCAATCTTCCATAAGTGCTCATGTTCGCGGCCTAGTTTTCCGGAGAATTAAGGATTTATACTTGTCTCACGTGATTAATGAGTAGCATTAGTGGATTTGGGGGAAGTTTGGGGGGAAAATAAAGCGTTCGGTGATACAGCGAAACACTGGTTTAAGAAGTGAGACAATCAATTTGTGTTTTACGCAGGGGATGACATCTACTGTCAAGCGAGTCTATCGTCTGCCGCAGGTCGTCACTTGTCAACATCATTTGCATACGTCAACAACCCGCAGGCCGCCATGTTGGATTCCAATATAACCACTGGCCGGATGCAATTGTCGGTATACGATGGCAAAAGTGAAATTGTAAACACGGGAGACTCATTTCTACACCCGACACTTCCATTACCGATCGTCTCCAGGGGTGCTGAAATTGTCCTCGTATATTGGTCAGACAATGCAAACGGCCGTGGGCAATTGCCAACCATCCAGGCCCAGTTTAGTCCAACAGGTAAAATGAGCTTTGAAAAAAGCCCTATCAGGTTCTTGAATTGCATGGCAATCTGGCAACAAATTTCTAACGTAACTTTCTGACCAATCATGTCAACATACAGTAATGGGAGTGATCATTTTTAGAATACTTTTTGCAGCTTTTGTTGTATCATATTACATTTAACGTTTAACACCATCCAACTTTTCTTTTTAGATTGCCCAGACTTCTCCCATCTTCTTGTGGAAAACACAACTATTTCAGTGACTGAGAAATGTGGAAGCTTCAGACAAGCACCTCAGCAGGCGCCCACTAACCTGGACTATCACATCCTGATTGAGAGTAAGAGTGGAAACAACCTGAAGCTGGATTTCCCGCCCCTGTCCGTAAAGCAGGATGTCCAGTTTGTCTGTAAGGGGATGAAGGATATGTGCGAGGAAGATTTACAGGTACCAACCATGCATTACAAACACAATGACAAACATAACTACTACACGTTATGCTTAGGTCACATTTCCAAACCGGGGCCCGGCCGGGTAGTCATTTGGAACGAAAAATATGGTATAAAACGCAACAAAGCACAGAAAAGTTGAAAAATGTCAACAATGGAACTATTTACGTATATTCTTTATGAAAATTGTCGATTTTCCGTTAATCGAAACAGCCCGGCCGGGCCCCGGCTTGGAAATGTGACCCCTGACTTAGTGGTCACTTCTTCTTCTCCATCGTCTAGCGCTTCCAATCAAACGTTCAAACAGTGTATATTAATGTCCATTAAGAATAACAGTAACATGACAACAGAAGTCCCATTTTCCCCAAAGAGTTTGAAAGCGATTTGAAGTTTTCGGTGTACTTGCACAGGCCGCCTTTGGTAGAGTTCTGTCAGCGGTCAAAGACAATCATCCCCTAGGGTGAGCTCGGGAAGGCGCCGGTCCTAACGTACTTCTAACTGCACTCCATTTTCCTATAAGCCCTTCTGCGATCGACCGACTTAAGTACATGTCCTTTCTAAGTTCCCCTCACCGCAGACTTTCATTACAAGGATATATACTTCTGTGCAGTGTACAGGTTCCTATCTACGCCTCTCCTCGGAGAAAACTGATAACCCAACATGATAAATGAATTAATGCATTACTGTAAAGGAACTGGACTTGGTCCATTACTCATGGAAGTAAGAGGAGTGGCACGCAGTCCGCTGGCTGATAAGTCTCCGTATGGAATAGCAACACTTAAGGCAACTGTACACCGTGTAAGGCGGTCTCTCCCGACACTAGATCTCCAAGACTTGCTCCTTCGAGACGGCTACAGGTGGTCTATTTTCTCGGCACGAAGAAATCAGATCTGGGCCACGTCTTGAAAGTCCAAATCGATGGCATGCAGGGTAGCTTTCCTCGGAACGATCGTTTTGCGGCAGTGGTCCCGACTTACTCTTGTGACCACATGAACTAGGAAGATGTATGGGTTCTACCGCGGAGTTGTATTAATCATTTCTAGTCAAGATTGGACTGCGATTTTATTTTCTCCAAGAAGGATTGGATCCCAGAAGAACGATTCAAGCAACGCTTCATTCATATGATGGACTGTTGCAGCAGAACTATTGCTCAAACTTATGGTCTTCAAAACATTTCAAGTGTTCTTGTCATTATTTCTTGCCTTTCAAATCCTGTACAATTGTACGAAATGTAGCACTATTTCTTTTGCATTATACCCTGTTCCAAGGGTATACCCATTTATGTGAGGCCATCTTCGTCGAAAGTATTTTTAAACCATATATGCATCTCCCACACAGGTGTTCATAGGCAAAAGAACAAATGATCAATGTGAAAGATCACTATGCTGTATGAACAGGAAGTCTGCTGCTGACATGGTACATTAACTATTCCTTGGAATATTTCTCAGCCAGTTGCAATGTCAAGGTGACGACTAAAATACATGCACCATACAACATGCAACCTTATCCATTTCCTGCCCTTTCCATGCATAACTATACATCAGATAAAGACATTACAGCTTTCAGCTTACTGAGCAAATACTTTTGCATGTCTCGACGCTGGTTATAAGATATCTAGTAATGTATGTTATCTGGCCCTCCCAAATCGATGGCGTTGACTTCAATATGCTGTGTGTCCTCACCGCGTATTGGCACCCAAAGGTCGCTTGGTTTTGAAGATGAAATATTCCGTAATATTCCCGTACAAATGAATTCCTCTGCTATTTGGAAGCCGTAATCCATCTCTGCTTCAGCATATTGTAAGAGGCCACAGAGCATAGAGAACGGCGCGAACTCAAGCGATACATCATTAATATAGGAGGAAACTTAATTAGTTAAGACACGGTGTGTGACCCGAAAGGGTGGGCCTCCTACTTCAGTAACAGTCGAATTATCCCCTTGTGATCTGCGGGTGACAATATAAATGGTTAGCCCTCACCTAACACGCATGAAGGGGACGTGATTTATGTCATTTCCATGGTGATGCCAATAGTCTGCAATATGGCAGAAACATTAACGAAGTGCAGGACCGATCGATTCTTGGATACTGGCGAGGAGAACCCTCACAGACTTTAAGAATGTCAAAAGGGTAGTCAAATTATGCACTGGATGAAAATTGAAATATGATTTGTCTACGTTTGGGAGCACCTCTGTCCTTGTTTTCCTCTTCAATTTTACAGGGTCGTGTTGGTTCAAGTTTGATGCGTCAAAACCCATAAACACGAAGCCCGTAATGTGTATTGAACGCAGCCTGGGTTCATGTAGCTACGGTTTAATCGCCTGATCACAAAAATGGAGACGACATAACTGAGGACGTTATTTAGTTTGCTGCTAGTGCTTTCCTGAGATTTTATTCAAATCCCGCATTCCATTGCTGAAGCGACCGTCTAAGTCCAAAATAACCTATATCTTTACCCTCAAGGCCCTCCATGTTTTCCATTAAATGCAATCTTCCAGACAGGTAGGCAGGCATTGCCAGATCCGTAACCACTCTTCCCGAAAGCCAGAATGCCATGTTGAAGTTTAGATTAGTGGCTGTGCAGTGTAGGAAAAACCATTAGCGTCAACCCATCGCCGTATGGGTAGATTCAGCGGCGTAGTTTCAGCTATGGCTGGCTTCTTAAGGCTTAATGCCAATGGCAGTTGACGTTTTGCATTTGCTTTATCAAGTCAGGGTGTCCTGCTATAACTAAAGCCTCTAAAACACAGGTCATATTCCAAGGCCAGAGGCTGGTAAATTAAATTTCCAGACTATGTTCCCTTACCATGTTCGAAGGCACCTTGCAAAATGTATAAGAAAGCAACAAAGCATGAATATGACTGGGATTTCAGTAGTCAAAGCCGCGACCATGACAGTAGTGAATGCAATACCGATTTCTCAAAAATATCTATAAAATTTACAAAAATGTGATATGATTACTCAGTGTTGCTGAGGTTTATAGCATTTAGGAGCGATGGTGACTTCAGTGACGATTGGCACTAAATTAACTATTGGCACTAAACAAACATCAATATTCTTCCCTTTGGTTTTTGTTCTTTTTTGTATACAATGCTGTTATCATAAGCGTCTGGAATTGATTCATCGTGTATTGTTATAATTAATGTACATCTTATTTTATCTTTAATTCCAGGTCTACGACCACTCCGGTGACATCCCGATGTTGATCTACTCCTACTGCCGAGACCGTAACCCGGAGTGGAGAACAGTTTTGTCCTCCAGCAGCTCTGTTGAAGTCGTGTACAAGTCTCGCTGTGCATGGTCAAGGAGCGGATTCTTCTTCTCCTTCAGGGAAACACGTAAATCTTATTCATAGCTGATACATTTTTTATCATAAAGTCATCAATCTAATCTAGAAACCCCATCGTAATTCAGAAAAAGTCGATGGTCGATGGCATTGTCGTGTGAATGATATTAACGATGTTCGCATGAAAGCTCATCTGTGGTGGTAGAATCAACAATATAACGTTGTAACAATATAACGTTGATACAACTATATAACGTTAAGATGTTGTTAGACATATTGGTCGTTGATTAGACTGAAATTCATATCTTTATGATGCGTCATTTCGTTGCAAAAACAAAATTGACAGTACACTGAAAACCAATAGCGTCAACGTGACAGTTTCAACTGACTTGACTGTGTGGCAGTACTATTTATCTTTTTTAAATCTTATTCTTCATCTAGAGTGCGAAAGAGCACAGACCACAACCTGCGGACCACGTGTCAACCTTGACGCTTCTTGTGGAACAATCTTCTCTCCGACAAATTCTTCAGCTACAACTTGTGAATGGCTCGTTACTTCAACACTGGGTCAAAGCATCGTAATGCTTTTTCAACCAATACGGCTGAGGTCGGATGGTGACGTCGACGACTACGTCACCATCAAGGAAGGAGCTAAGAACGGCGGTTTTCAGACGACAAATGAGCTGACAGAAAACTACGATATCTTCCCTTACCTGTCAACAACCAATCAAGTTCTGATAAAACTCTCCAAGGGACAAAACGGCACTCAAACGAGCTTCGTGGCTCACTACTGGATGGAAGAGGAGGCAAAATTTGTTAAGGACATGGAAGGTAAAGGAAAAATACCTATGCAATGATAATACAAAGCCCTAATAACAAAATCATATCAAGCTTCAAATGAAAAGACTTATCTATCAACTTTGAATTTAACGTTCAGAAATATTTTAGAGTTTGGTATATTTTGTTTGGATAATACTCTTCAACTACTTTTCAACTACTCTTAACAAGTAATGAAAGTTCAAACTACAAACTTGAGGTCGATATCACCTGCGCCCCTTGAATTTCTAACGGAAGTGGTCATTATAAAGAATGAGGAGAATGTCTGTTTTGGGCATTTTCGTCGATTCTGGCTCCATGTGAAAGGATAAGATCGAATTCCGTCACTTTTTGGACGGGGAGTTCTGGCCAATATTTGAACTTAGTACTAAAGATCGAGCCATCTGGAAAGTAGTCCATTTCTGCCACATCATGGCTAGCGGGTCATTAATTAGCTCCCAGATGGCGTTACCTTCCACCAACGCCATTCATCACCAGACAAAACGATCCATCTCTACTGGCAACAAAGTGTGAAATTGATCCTAGGACTATACACTGCAGTCACCAGGTTTGTCAAAGTGGTCATGCCACACTGGATATGGGGAAGGGGTGTATGATAGAGTTGTGCTCGGGTCGTCACCTGATTTATACCTCCAGACCTGAGTCAGCATATTTCATCATTTTAAACGACTAATAGATACAACATTTTACTCTAAGCTAAAGACTGTTGTCCGATACGTCCAAATCAAAACTTTATTCTTACTTGTTAACCATTTTTGCCACACTAAAAAACAAGACCACATGAAACTTGATTCCTAGTCCATTGATTAAACCATAGTACACTTCATGGTTGTTTGATATTTCAGTTTTAATTTTGACCTTGTCAGACTGTTGAGACTTTATTACTTCATCAAACAGCAGCCAGACCACCATGGGGGACCGGTGGCGCCTGACTTTGCCTTTTATCAAAGAAAAACAAATTTAATTTAGCCAAATAATATCACATTACGATCTGTATCTTTCAGCGCTAGTCACAGAGGGCCAGTACGTATACTAGATACCATATGAAGGTTCATCTACATGCAAAGCACACATGGGATGGACTACCTGGCTTGAAAAAGCAGATCGAGCCTCCCATTTCTTCATTGGTGAAACAATTAAGTTTGTTTCCCTTTATGTGCCGCAAAGCTGCGTGTATCTATAGCCTTTTGACGTTACAGACCGCCCTGGGGGTCATAAAATCTCGGAACATCAGATTGCAATACAGGAAGCCAAGTTGATTTACCCGCGCAAGCTTCACCGTAGCCCTATCTAGGTGTAGGATAATCAATCCGAGGTGATATAAAACCTAAAAGCACTAAAGTAGAAAACTTTCGGTTGGAGGTAGGTTTATGACCAATCACTTGGTCGAGACGACAGATGGCACGACGCCCTAACAGGGTACATAATTGCAGACGCGGAGCGGCAGCAGCTTGTATAAAGGGTCTTCAGTCAATTATACTGGGTGTTCTTTACGATTTAATTGCCAGAGCACAGTAAATACTTACAGGAAGTACGCTTGGGTCTATACGCAGACTATTCCTTGAGGAAGAAACACTAACTTTCAATAACAAAACTTGATGCAACTATGCTATTTTGTTTCGCCTTGATATGGTATAGTATAGAATAAATGGGGCATTACGAATGACAAATCCAAGCACAGTCATACCTTTCAATTACGTTCTTCTGCAGTAACATTCAGTACAGTTTTTCCTTTCATGTGCCGCAAAGCTTCGTCTATCTATAGCTCTTTGACGTAAGCCCTGTACCATATCATATGGTGTAATGAGATTTCAGTAAGGCTTATACGTTTATTGTACCTCTCCTGACGACCATATCCCTTTATTCTCTAAGCCTTGGTGTAACAACGTCCATTGAAATACTATGACTAACTCCACTGCTTTAATCTCTCCAGACGTGTACTTGTCTGAGGAGCTGTGTGAGCCCGGCTTCACCCACTACAGAGGGAACTGTTACCAGGTGGTGGCCAGCCTGGTGCCGCTGTGGTGGGAATCCGCGCAGCAGCGCTGCAGCGACGTCAGCGCAAATCTCGCGAGCATCACGAGTCCGTACGAGATGAAGTTCATCGAGCGGCTGGCCCGGGAAAGCCTGGCCGTCGGCGGGAGTGCACCAATCATGGCGTTCATTGGCTTACGCTCGAAAGGCACCTCGGGAAGATACGCATGGGTTGATGGGAGTGACGTCACGTGAGTGTAGCATTGCAGCCTTGTTTTGATATTTCTTGGAACCTTTATGATAATGTAATTATATAGCTAGTGAAACATCTCTCAACATTAAAGTACCTGGTATACATCGTTAGCCTGCAAATTTATTGTATCTTAAATGTAAGGCGCCACATAAAATGCATTTGCACAAAATTCCGGCCAATTCTACATACAGCACACTTTTCATTGATCCTCGTAAATTGAAACAAAGACAAAGTTAATTTGGTCAAATAATGCCACATTACGACCTTTGTCTTTCAGCAGTACCAACAAAGAGTTCCTTCGGTACTGTTTCCAATAGATTTTAGAATAGTTGTTACTTTACCTTTAACCCCACCTAGACCGGGGGGGGGCTAAAAATGCCCGCGCCAACTTTGATGTCACCTAGCGTCTGAACGGCTAGCGCTAGAACGGCCAAACTTGGTGACTTTTCCTAGAATATTGTTGGCAACAATTTAATATCATTGGAATAAGATAATAATTTTTTGATTCAACGTACCGTTCTCGAGTTCTGAGGGGGGGTCAAATGAGCCCCCCCGTCCCACCAAGCCAAAAAAAGCCCGGTCTAGCTAGGGTTAATTTATCTATTTACATGTATGTATTATGTAGCTCAACTTCTAAAACGTAATTATACCTGTGACACATTGGCCCACCCAATAGCAGCCTCAAGGGCGATTGCTGCCACTTTGCTTGCTTAGTATTCAAGTGGTTCTTATACATAAAGATGTGTGCAAATTTTAAAACTCCCAATTCATTCCTGCCTTGATTGAACTCCTATATCAAGGATTCTGTCACTGATATTAATTTCCTCAACAATATATGTTGTGGTCAGATTTATAGCAGTACTCTCGCCGAGTAGGTCACAGCCTGACGTATGGCTACAGTCAACATAGTGAACACGAACCATATGAAATCGGAATACAGCACAGTTTGGCTGAGTTTTTAAAAATAGGGTGCATACGTAAGTATGAAGCGCAATAGTCATTGATAGATATCGCAATCATGAGCAAGCTGTTGCAATGTCGATTGCCTTTCGAAGGCTGATCCTTTTTCTGAAGAAGTCCCATATACTGTTCTCTTTCCTATGCGTAAAGTTGCATAACAACAGCATGACAAAGACCTGGACATTAAGGTTATGCCACATGCATACAAGTGCTGACATCTCCATCCCTTTTATTTATTACAAATTCATGACTGAAATTTGTACCAATCCTTCTCAGTGTGATTCATTCTTTTCAAGTTTTGGAATGTCTGAATATGCACAAGACGGGATTATCAAGAGATTTTAATCCCCTCTTAAGGAACTTAATTCGGCTCAGTGCACGTTATGTCTGCTTCCAGAGCTGCTTTTCAAAAGAATTAACGACTCTTTTGATCAAAGTCACTTCAAAGCTTCCGTTCATCAGGCTGCTTAATTTGCTAAGTGGTTGCGCTATGGAAATGAAGCAACCGAGTGACTACAGGGATCTTAGCTCTCCGTATAACCGATTAGTTTCCAGACGAAAAGCCGTGATAAAGGGATTTCACGAAACAAGACTAGTCCTTTTCAGAGACGAGCCGTTTGAATATTTAATGTTTCAAATTCCGGCGACGTGCTTTGCGTGCTGCGTGTTCTGTCACAGAACATGTCAAGGCCAACAAGTCTTCAACAGCTCTTGTTGCCAAGTATGAAACAAAGCCTTGAAGTTGAATCCCAGCCATTATTTCGGATTTCAGCAAACTTGGTAAATGATGTCGCCGGTTCAATAGAGTCTGAGGAGGAGCCAAGTAGTCTCCAGTAGGCTTAACTTGCACGCAGTGATAGATGTCTGCGGTCTCTGGTCACATTTCGCCATTTTATGACTCTGATACCGCAGCAGTAAGGAGTTATGATTCAGACGTGATGGATACGACACAGTAAACCCAGGTCCAAACCTAATCCAGTGGCGGACGAATGGCATGGGTACTGCTATGCCATAATCTCAACCTAAATATAAGGATAATGTACCACATTAGTCATTCTACCCATCTTAATCCCGACCTTGTACCTCTGTAAGATCAACGGAACAAACAAATTGCAATTATTAACGCTGATATTTCCTGGAGGAGTTTAGTAACGTTTCACCTTTGTGCAGGAATGAACTCCATATACTGTAGAATGTCATGCGGCCACGCTGCATTACTCAGTGTTACTTGGTCGCCTTGGAAATAGTACATCAAGTTGTCTGAGATGACTTTGTTGGCATTAGTTTCACGAGATGGCAGTGGAGGCCGGCTGAGGCTGCGGGGCAGGGGAAGACCGCGCGCTCGTGCACGCTGATGACGATAGGGCGGAAGGAGGGGGACCTGGAGACCGGGTGGTACCCTGTCCCGTGTGACTATCCACGGGCTGGCAGGGACTTTATCTGCAAAGCTGGCGCAAGAGGTACGCCATAAAACTGTAACTGCTTACGGGAACATCATAACTAGACATGGATAAGTTTATAAACTGTACCCTTGTAACCTTTTTGACCCGTCACAAGTACGTAGTTAAAGGAGATGGCCTATTACTATATAAAATTGCACATAGCAATCTGATTTTACTGGGTCTGACATATCACTTTATTTATGTAGAAATCTATACGTAATGACAGATGTAAAAGTAGCATTGGATTTCAGTCAAACTATATTACAAGTTGATTTTACACTTTGATAAAGTAGTAAACTTAATTTTCACAGGATGCGGGGAAGGATGGACCCTGGTTGGATCCACGTGTCTGAAACTTTTCCGGCTAAAAGGACAGGAGATCCATTATGATCGTATCTGTACTGATATCGGATCAACGGTCGCGCTGGTAAACCACACCAGCAAACTGCCACTGATACAAGAGTATCTCGATCAATCGTGGCCCAGATTCCCTGAACCTAAAGTGTTCATGCAAATAAAGGAAGAAGGGACAGCGACTTGTAACGTCCTGGAGAAAGAGGAGGGAACGGGACAGCGGTGGGAGGTGGCGACGACTGAATGCTACAGGCGGCTGCCAACTCACGTGCTTTGCTCAATGCAAAAAGATGGTAGGTCACGCACTTACACTCACAGTCAACCCATAGTTCTGAACCTCGTGGTAAGCCTCTGCAGGCAGATACCACGGAATGGTTGGAAGAGGTTGTCCCTTGACCAAGGGCATTATATATGGTCTAAATGCCTCGACTAAATTTTGTGAATACTTTATAAGAACTAGAAAGGCCAATATTTGCTTTGGAGCAAATACAGCGATGGGTTCACCACATTTTACGACATGGCAGGGAAAGAATGAGAAACACAAGGGAAAACAATGATTTACATTGATATAACTATAATATGAAGTAAAATACAACTAAAACAACAGTTGGATAGCTATTCCCTACTTTATTGGTTAGGATTTTTAATTGCATAATGCAAACTGTTGATTTTCAAAATAAAAAAAAAACGTCCATGCCCCGCATTCCAATGCTGGAGCAGGAAAGCTTGAAATACCTACCAAAACACTTGAATACAGACATACTGTCAGTATGGAAATGCTCTGTGCAGGTGTTAATCAAGTTAAATCCCAACAGCCAATCAGCAAGAAGAATAGAGGAAAGCTGCATGCCTATTGGTTGATGCCCTGCATTCCATTGTGATGACTCATGCCCAAACGTGGTTAACAAGGCACACTAACACAGTAATACATTTGCTATAACACAGCCAAAAAACTCAAATAAAACCATTCTAAAAGCCTGTATCACAATAATTTAAAAAACGCCTAGGGGTATTTGCCCACTGTACCTCCATACCAAATTTCAGGACCTTAGGCCCTAAAATGAAGAAGCTGAATCCATTTAAAAAATGGCAGGAGAAGAAGAAGGAGAAGAAACATCAGAAAAAGCTTCGTGGTGTGGTGAACCCATAATCATACTACACGCCACACCACTTACAGATATAAAACAGAACGCTTTCATTGTGCACGCAACTGACAAACGTTACAACTTAAGCACTTTCTTTAAGATAAGTTTATAAACTGTACCATTGTAACATTTTTGACCTGTCACAGATACGTAGTTAACAGAGATGGCCTATAACTATGTAAAATTGCACATAGCATTCTGATTGTACTAGGTCTGACATATCCCTTACTCTATTTATTTTTTAGTGATTTTTAGTCTTCTCATAAAAATCAGGGGTCTCTCACACCAGCACATGTAATATGTTACCGTTGGTTCTTTCAGCCAAGACCTGCCCGGCGATTTGCTCCTGCTTTGAGGACACAGTTTCCTGTGCAGGGAAGGGACTGGAACAGCTGCCAGACATGATTCACAAGACAACCAGAAAACTGTACGTTCTCAGGCTCTCATTCATGTTTAAAGCTAGCAGCAACAACTTAGTACAATAAGTATTCCAAGATAGGTAGCTATTTCAGGAGATAACTTTTCAGAACGTTTGAAGTAGGTGTAAAGGAATTAATCATATCGTGGTGGATGCGGTAACATGGCTTTTGGTATTCACATCATCTCCAATGCAAGGAGTTAACCTTTATTTGAGATAAGATTAAAAAGTCTAATCTACTAATCTAAATAGTACTGTTTGCTCTTAATTTCAGGTTACTTGGAAGCAACAAGCTCAACTTCACCACACAGTCGTTCACGGCATGGCATCTCCTATCATCACTGTGGGTATTTCAAATCTTTTTCAAATCTTTTTATTAAAAAATCAAACATGGCAGACGTGCCAAATTACTTCAGAATTTCGTTGACATTTTACAAATTATCATCATTTACAAATCATCATCATACATGTATAGGCTTATCTATCATACGTCATGAAGTGTCTTAGTGTAGTTCACTGTATATCTCTTTTAAAATTGGTCGCACTCTCTACACACGCAAATTAATTGGTTCGGTACTAGAATGATTTCCACCATGAGCGTTTTCATTACATCATAATCGTCAACATTCCACGTTTCAAACTTTGCCTATTAAGACGCAGGGCGAGACGCATTCCAAGTATGACACATTCTTCAACTAAGACACATGTTCCATTAGAGTTTTCTAAAGCGCTAATACCTTTCCCATCACATTTAGGAATGGTAGCTCATTAGTAATTTCAGACATACAGAATTATGTCTTCTAACCAAATCAAAACAACTTTATCGCAGTACGCCTGGCACTAAAGATGATTCCTGTACCAGTTAATCACTCCTGTAATATCGACTGCTGTGCCCCAGGCAGTGTGTGTTCAATTTGAGGACCCAGATCGATATTTTAGAGCTGAAACAGTTGGTTTCCTTCCGGGTAGAACCCTGCCAGATTCATGAATAGTTTATACTTTACTTTTTCTTGATCGAAAGTACTGCACCTTGAAGCAAACTATTCAATAGACACAAAGAACCTATTATATAGTGCATTGTATTGGCAAGGTGCCAGTTGGCAAAAGGAATACATCTCCAAGCCTATACAAGCTAAATGTAAGGAGTTGATACTAAAAGTACGTCCCGGGGCGAGGAAAATATGCGTTGTTGTGAAAACCAATTTCTAGTCTTTATGTTTTGAACAGACCATCATGAGTTACCTTACTTTCACAAAGAAAAGTATTTTCTGACGGCAAAATAAGAGTTAAGTAAGTAGCAATCAATAAAGCGATGCTGGTCCTCGGAGAAATGCAATACAATACTCTCATCAGCTGAATACCTGCCACTTGCAGTTGATGATAAACAGAGTAAGGACGATTTAAATTAGAAGAGGTCGTTGATGTATGGCGTTGCTCGCGGGGTTAACGAAGACGCGTTAGGCAGCAATAACAAGATAATCCACTTATCTGGGTCTAATCAGCGCATTGATGACTGATGAGGAGAGGTTAAAGAATTCTCACACGTAATTCGGCATGTAAAACTTAATGAGCTTTAAAATGTAAATACAGTCTGCCCTCTGGCGACCGTGTGTGGGAGCAACTGCGTCACTGTCAGCAGTTCCTGGATTTAGTGCTGGCTTCAAAGTCAAACTCGTTTCTAACATTGCTGAATTACGTCAGTTCAAAATTGTGATTAGCCCACTCGATTGTAACACTTTATCAAAGACTTGTGCTATCCCTTATTATTTGAATAATTATGATATAGATATGTTAGGTTTTATCCGACATTAGGTCTTATTCAACACATTTTATTGTTGTTACTCTCTTTATGTAGTTTGCCATACGTTGTACCATGTGCAATTGTCGTGCAATAAAGTTCTTCATACTAGAAAAGTATCATTTGCAATGCGTTTACCTTCAAATGATCTAGCCTTACAAACTACTGTTTATTGTTATTCATATGAATTGATAAATGTATGTGGTGAGCAGAAGCCCCCTACTCTACCCTGCTACAAAATGTAACCCAACACCACATGCTGTCTGCTACAGCACTAGTTACCATAGTGACAGACGTCTGGTCCAGGTCATTCACTTTACTTGTTTGGAAAAGACGGCACAAAAACAATATGTTTTCCTTATGCAAAGGTAAACATAATAACATATAACTAGTTTCATTGGACATCAACTGACTGTCGAGTGCTCTTGCCTTTTTCTGTTTGAACTTATTCCAGATTTTAATATTCCTTAATTATATATAATGGATTGTGCCTTAAATAAGTGTGGCATTTCTAAATGCCACAATGATCAGATGAGAAATACGGTGTGTGATGACAGACGTGCGGAAGGCTTAAGGGTTGTAAACTACATTTCCGCCCTACTTAACTAGATCGAGTAATCGGATGACAGAGAGAAAATTAAGTCAGTTGCTATAAGCCTGATACATGATATAGTACACTGTGAGACGGTCTCAGCTGTAATGGGATTTTATCAAGGCATGAGCGTGTTTTAGCAAAAGTGGCTATCCTGCAGTCAATCAACGTTGATAAATCCCTGTCCTATAAATTTAACAGTATGTTTTGTGGGCTTTATCGATTTTGAGCTTACAAACATGATACACGCACCAGATGTAACCTACAGGCCCCATCGTTCAATGAATCTTGTAAATGTATCCTTCAGTTATGTTTTTAATATATAAGATATGAACATCATCACCTTGTTAGGTCTCTATGTCAGACATGCTGACTAATGATAACAATATAGAATGCATCACTAGCAACAAGCAACATCGTTTATGACTTTTATGTGTGTAGATATCGCTACATGCATGTATAAGAATACATCATGTCATTCATGTACAAAGGTTCGATGAACGTTAAGGTTCGAGGCCTCTTTTCCTGTATAAATGAATATTGATTTTTTTTCACAGGGACTTGAGCAACAATTCCATCCAGCAACTACCAGAGAATGTCTTTGGAACCCTTCACACTCTCCTACTCTTGTAAGTACTGTACTTTGAAAATGTGGGATGCATGGTGACCGTACCTCGGCAATGGCGAATGAATCCTCCAACCATGGATTCAAACAAAACTTCCTTATTTGTTATCCAAGAAGTTTTAACAGATTCCAGATTAATCCCTACTGAGGTTGATTAGTTTAGTTGACATGTTTGTTTACAGTCATCACGCCATGACAAAATACTCAATGACACTTCAATGTCCCCGAGCGACAGATTACAAATTACAGAATTACAGTTCCGTCTCAAGGAGAGCTCGAGTTGTGATGAAACTTTCCCGACTATACGACGGGAAAACCCATACATCTTCAACATCAACAACGTTATGTAATCGGGTGCGCTCTTCCTCCTGAGATTGCACGTATTCGTTCTAACTTTAAGCCAAGTGCTGAGCAAACATCTCATCACGAAGCTTCTTTGATAAGGCCTGATTGGTCAGCAAGTGGCGCTTCGTAATGATGTAATCTTGTAGTCTTGTGATCTAAGTTCGTCAAGAACCACTGAAGACGAATGCAGCTGTTAATCCAGGAAGGTTCTGGTCAAGGAAATTTAGTTCCAAGTTGGCTTTGCCTTTGGTGATTAAGTCTCAGGTGGGAAAATCTATAACACGTCTGCAGGAATCTGCCTTGGTCCGCATTTAACAAGACAATCAGCAACGTAGTGTATCTCTGATGATGTGCTCTTTGTAATTCTAGTCCTTTCATCAATCTCTCATTGTATTCTCGGGCCACCTTGGTCGTCCCCCCGAGATACATTGATTTGCACTCGTCCTTGCCGCTCTCGTTAACTCACTCAATTCCAGTCGAGCAGGGCTTCAGCAAACGCGGCCGTCCATACGGTCGGCTACATGATTAACCTTTTGATTTCAGCCCGCCTTGTTACCGTGGCCACCCCTGATACCAATCTAATCCCATTGGCAAACATTACATCGTTTGTCACGTTTGATGCCACGTTAATCCAGATGGATCCCCCATTGCTGATTGCAATATCTGATTTAAGGCCCCCAATGATTAAATCCCTGCGTGTACGCAAAATGGAATCGGCTGGAATGAAGCTAGCAAAGATGATATGAGAAGACCGTAAACTGCAGACCGTAGACTGCAAGGTAGAGTAAAGATCGGATTTTTGGTCGTGGCTGACTTCAAGAATACTCGGACAAGAAAATATATGCAAAATGCAAAAGTTATAAGTGCAAATCTTCCGTATAGCGTATTTGGCATTTCTCCTGTGAAAAGAAATCTGGCAAATACATGTAGCTTTTTATTCACTTTCTACGCTACATCCATCCATCTAGGGGATATCATCAACTTATACGTTATGTATTTTTTAAGTGCTCAACAGCAAAACAATATCCATTAAGCTCAATTTATTGTACTTGGTCTCGAAAACTGTGTTAGCATAAAAGCCTCTGACATTTAATCAAACACCTAGCAACGCGGATGTCCTTCTGTGTCTGCCGCCAACAAGTCCCACAAGGTCTAGTCTTAATGGAAACGGAATGCTAACTTCTATTCTCCACTCCACAAAGACCATCAACTATAAGGGCAGCTGTGCACCTGATGTATGAGCCTTTTTTCTACCCAGTAAAGGGAAAATTTATCACACCTCAAGGACATTCGGAACAGCTACCAAGCCGTAGTAGACTCGGCACTGATTCTTTCTTATCTTTTGGGGTGGTTTTTGATAGCAGAGCTGGTTTAAAACATTTTATCATGGCGCTTAAGAAACACCTTTACCTATCTACATCACAGTATCCAGGTGAATTATGTGTGAGTCGGTCTTAAATGAGATAGACGGAAAGACTGTTGCCAACGTGATGCAGTGAATTGCATGAAGTGGAAGTTGTGACTTTGTTCGTTTGGTTTTCAATGCATTTCCCAACCCAATGGATCCCTATAGTTGTGTGGCAATGCAAGACGTACTGACGCAAAGCGTTCATGGATATCGATCTGATAAAAGGATAGATTAAGGCGTGTCAGCCCCGCTAGGGAGCCCCAATCAATCTGCCAAACACCTTTTGTAGCTCCATTATCTCAGGTCGGGCGCGGGAAGAAAAGCGTGACCTCCTATATCGACAGCAACACTTCCCCGTTAGCTAGACCTTGGCGTTACCAGATTTCCGCACTGGAAACTTTTCACGTACATTATAACTCAAAAGTACAGGAATTTTCAAGAACACTTAAGCCAATGAAGCATTTCTATAAAGGCATGACCATGGCTAACTGGTCCTAACCCACGACATATCAACTTTTTCTTGAGCAGTAGCATGCTATTGTTCTACTAATTTCTTTCCGGGGAAGGTAAAGTGCAGTACAGTACATATTTGCTATACTGCAAATCTATGGCACATTCGTCTGTCCGATGACATACAATAACTAGATACGCCGACATTTATCGGGAGCAAATACAGTAAAAAAGAGAAATTCTAAAAGCCTGTATTTAAAAAAAAAGAAAACAAAAAGCCTTAAGGTATTTTCCCACTATAGCTCTATACCAAATTTCACGTCGTTTGGCCCAAAATTGAAGAAGTGGAATCCATTCAACGAAGTGGCAGGAGAACCCTTGTCCTGCGGGGCCCATATATATATGGGTTGCACATACAGTACCATCTATATAGTGCCCTGTATATGTGCGATTTGGGGGTGTTTCTCGTGCAACGCATCACACCGCAGCGAAACGCAACGAATGCGGAAGTAACTACGCCACCGCGGGGCAAAAAAACTCAAGGGTCTGTGACCTGATTAAGACATGAAATTATTTGAAAATATCGTGTAAAAATTGCCAGCAGGACAAGGGTTAAAGGGAGGAAAACAATATATTTCGTCCATAACATGATATGGGGTGAAATATAACCAAACAGTAGGACGTCCCGCGCCACGTACATATACATTGCTGTTCAACCTCAGCCATCCGGCGCGATGCGTGCAGGAGAAACGCGTAATTAGGCATGATGGATGCGGAATTACAGACCCGTGTGTTGGGATTACGATTTCAATCGAGTCGTTAGATGTCTTGCCCCGTCTAACTAAAATCATCTAATCCTAATTGAAGACACATCTGCTTGGCTTATCAAAGGCATGCATCTAAAGCTGTTTAATCAAGACGAGGCATTAGTTGGTATTCTCCTTGCGCTATCGATCGATTCCATAGGGAACAGGATCAAAATCGCTTAATATAAGTATATTACTGTGGCTCTGCTAATAGTTTTGATTCAGAACTTTTAGCATTATTGGAAATATGCGATGTAGCACAATCTATCAATTGACGGCGTTTTACCGTCTTTTAGCGTAAAGTTTTGGTTTCTTACTTAGTCTCAATAACATTTAAATTCCAAACAACTTGTATACGTATACACAATGCAAGAGCAGAGTAATCTGTAGGGAAACATTTGTTAAACGAAAATTTGTCTAATCATAATGGTATAAAACTGCAAACCACTGATGCAGATTTTCTAATTACTAGGTGGTTTGTTTGAAAACTCCCTTAGTGTGTTGCTTTGACTTTTAAACCAAGTTCATGGTATTCATGATAAGATACACGGCCTATGGTTTTCATCTTATTTCACGCTAGCTTTCCTAACAGTACCTTCAAAATACATTAGATGAGTATCACTATTTCTGGCGGTTGGAACGTGTGACGGTTTTGCTTTTCTTGAAAGAGGGTACGCAGTTGTGATCCTATAGTTATAACGTATTAAAGGCGCTAACATCTTTGAGCATTACGTTGTTGCTGTGGCCATTTTGTAGGGAAAACACGCAGAAACAGTTGCTAACTGCGTAATCCAGCTTAATCCACTTCTCCCAGGAGGTATTGATCTTTTGGTAAAGTAGTCTTCCAATCAATACAACACCGGAAATGTCTGATTACTACATTAGATAGACAGAGAACTACCTTACCCGCCATAACACATTGACTTCTTGGTGATTTAGATTTGTTGAATGAATATTCATCGTTTATATTCATGACATAAGTAATATCTAAAAACACGTTCTTTTTTTTCTAGAAACCTAAGCGGCAATTTGATAACAGCGTTGAGATCTTCAAGCTTCAGCGGACTAGAAAAACTTCAAGTCTTGTAAGTGGTTCCTGATTTCTTCGCTAGCTGCGTCAGACACCATGCAGTGTTCTACCAGCAATGAACGATCGATTGTATTTTATGAAGGATTGCTTTTCATCACAAAACGTGTAGAAGTGCAATATAGTCCAGGAACGTTCGTGACCTCTCTGGATTGGTTGCGGTGCCCCACATCTAGTATTTATTCTTATCAATTATCCGTCCACGAATTAGAAGGGAAGGCAATAGAGAAAGGATAGCAACCTTTGACCCCCATCAATTTCACTGTTGGGCAATCAAAGCTGCCCTCCGACCTTCTGGTCTCTGGCTGTTGGCGCTCGTACAACAGTTTATCTGTGCAATTGGTGTACCACAAAGGTCGGATTGAGGTCAAGACGACCGTATTCGTGCAAGGGTAAAACTTGGAATGTGTAGATTTCTTTCGTTTGAGGGAAGGGGGCTAGTCTTCGATAATTTTGTTTCAAAGGTTCAGAGGGACTTCGACTTTGGCCAGGTCTATTCTTGTCTGTGATGATTCTTAATAACTAGAGTGACCAACCTTAAATAGAGCCAACCAAGAAGAAATTTAGACTCCATATATATATTTTGTCGCTCAGCTTTTACTGGAACTCTCATAGAGGCGGCACACAGCGGTTTTGAAGTGAAAAGCAAATACGAAATGCTGAAAACTTGACAATTGCTTGTCAATTCACATGGGACGCCATTGGCAAATGGTCAAAATAGTTGTATTGATCGTTCACATTCCTTTACCTTTCAGGGATGTGAGTGGCAATAACATCGATAAATATGACAGGGACGTCTTTGATCACATGAAGAACTTACGGCTTCTGTAAGTCATAAACCTTTTGTCCTGCATATTATTTAATGTCGTATCATCTCCTTTCCCCATACATATTTCTAGTTGATGAAAATGTGTATCAGCTGAAAAAAATACATTTCTCACTGAAGTTCCCTGTGTTATCATTAATATTTAATGAACGAATGAAAGACCTTTATTGTACATTTTTGCTAATTGCGAACTAAGTACATGTGTACAGGTCATGGTATATGGTAAATAGCGATGGTTGACTAAAATATATCTATAGTAAAACTACATGTGTACAGGTTCTGCTTCTTCTCGCTTCTTAAGACAGTTGTAAACGTAAGAACAGATGGAGTTTATAATTCCCCTTCCCTGGTTTTCTACCCATCCAGGGTTGCGGATGATGACACTATCTGCTGCCTGGCCCCGCGGGTGAATGTGTGTACAGCGGAGAAAGACCCCACCTCTACATGCGACCATCTCATCGCCAGTAACGTCCTGAGAATAACCACCTGGGTTCTGGGGCTGTTGTCTATATTAGGAAACCCGACAGTTGTTCTTCAACATCTGAGGACTAAACAAGGCGGCGCGTGGACGGCGTTCCTGTGTAACCTGGCGGTGGCAGACTTCTGTACAGGATTGTATCTCTTAGTAATAGGCTCCGCAGACGCCTTTTTCCGTGGGGAGTATATATTTTACACTGATCACTGGATTTCTAGCACGATGTGTGCATCTGCGGCCGTCGTCTTCACGTTTTCCAAGATGTCGTCCCTGTTTCTGGTCGGAGCCATGATGCTCGAAAATCACGTGTTTCCCCGGCTGCCAATCAAGTACCTGACCAACAGAATGCACTCTCCCTCGGTGGTCGCCTCCGTGTGTTGGACGCTCTCATTCTGTTGCACGATAACCCTGACTATTTCATCCCAGCTCACTGGGTACTACATCGGCAGCAGGACGGGACTGTGCACACCTGTCCTCACAACCGTGCTGTCCAGTACTGAACCAGGATGGAAGTATGTCTTCTTTGTGTACACCGTCTTACCGGCAACAGTTATGGTGCTTACTACGCTTTCCAGCATCATAGCATTCTTTGCTGGCAAGCCAAACCCGCTAGCAAACGACTTGTATTACAGCAAGGATTCGGGAAAAGAGAAAAAGCTACGCCTTGGTTTGAAGGGCCTGCTGGTGCTGAATTACCTCTGTTGGACCGTGGTGGTAATCACGGGAATTCTCACGAGAGTCGGCGAGAAGATCTCACCGGACCTTGCTGTGTGGACTGCCCTGTTCCTGATGACGATATCTGCCGGTATTGACCCGTTTATACACCTCGCAAGCCTGGCAGACTTTTCTTCCGACAAAAGAGAGGCCACAAACTGTGCCGAAGCCAACGGTAACATTGTAAATACTTTCGTGGATTCTCTGGGGAGAAGAGTCTACAAGGCATCAAGTGGCACTCTTAGAAATAATGGTAAGCACACCAGTAGCCGCATGTTAACTTTCATGTACATGACAACAGTTCAATTATGAAAAACTTAAACTTTTCTCCAACTAAAAATTAGACTCACCAGAAATTTTCGACTGAATCACTCAGTGAATCACTTGGGTCAGATAGCTGAGGAAGACTGAGTGATTCAGTCGAAAATTTCGAATTCTGGTGAGTCAAATTTTGAGTTGGAGAAAAGTTTAAGTTTTTCATAATGTAATTTACCAATGCTGACAACAGGTCAATGATTAGAGGTTTTAACAAATCCTGCTTGGCAAAGACAGTACATCAGCAGTGCAATCGGATAGTCAAATCTTTATGAAAAAAAGGCCGGTAGCAAAAAAAGTGAAACTACACTTTTCTCTCTGTCCGCAAAGCCAGTAGCATACCTACGCTTACAAGTTGCGTTTAGAGAAATATAGCCGATCTTTGCACTGAAGTTTTAACAGTCATAGAACATTGCTGATATGTAGCTAAAACACTGTCGTGGACAGATAGATGTCTCTGCAATTGTCCAACGATTCACGGAGGGGCATGACCCCGGTCCATTAGTAAGATGAAGACGGAATGTACTTCCATTATTGTCATGCATCAAAGGTTGGCGTCCCGGGATTAGCACGATTGCATGGTCTGAGATGAAGGGGTTGTTCTAGTTCCAACAGACAGTTACGAGGTTTGTGAAGGAGAGTAATCTTGACAAATGGCCCTGTTATCTGTGTTTGGTGAAGGACGGATGGAGCGATCACACATCGACAGTCTGTCAACTTTCATTTCTGCATCTTCCCCAAAGGATCTAAAAATGTCGGTTCCTCACAAAGACTGCCGTTGACTGCCTGGGTTTTATATTGTCAAGTCTCCGTAAACATCGACGTTCTGTCAATTTTCATCTTCCACAGCTTTTACGAACGACGCTAAACACCTCTCTCAATAAGAGGTCATGTCCCCTAGGTGCTCAACCCCTAGGTGACAAATAATTATAAACTATTCATAAACTGATTGATTAAGACCTTTTACAGAATTTCGTGGGGCCAAAGAATCTTGTTGTGGATATTTTGTCACTTTATGTATGGGTAAAGCCATTGATTGTCATTCTGGTCTCAAGTCTAGTACGGTATAGCGACGAAGATGCAGTTTTAAACTCTTATCTTCCTGTATCTATATCTTCTATTCTGTCTCTCGACAGCTTGAGTTCAAAAATACCTCTGCGAACCGCAAGGGTAACCACTTCTTTATGTTTTCACCAAAGGTACTAGACATTGCCATCGGTTAAACGTTTTCTAGGTCCCGCTAAGCGAATTACACCAGCAGTAGATCATTGCAATCAATTAGTCTCGAGAGGAATTTACGGGCGCCCTAAAATACATGGTCGACTGGGTTTTACTCAACGATAGATCACTTGCATTCCAAGAGGTTAAAGATTATGCATGCAGTTTAATGTAATGTGAAGAAACACATGCATGGTATCTCGTGATATTGCTAGTCTTCTAAAATGCACGAGTAGTTTGGACACCGTCATTATGTTTACCGAAGAAAACATATTGCTTTTGCTACATTTCCTCTTCTTCTCCAAACCAAAAAGATCCATGACCTGAACAAGACTGTCTGTTACCATGGTAACTAGTGTTGCAATTTTATAGCAGGAGGGATTTAGACTCCTGTCTGTCCATGTGTATGAATGTGTTTTGAGTAAGAATTAACAGATCAGACCATATGCAAAGGTAAACATTACGCATTTGCTTTGCAGATGTTACCTTTCTGGTGTCGTATGTGTTTGTTTGGGGGAGTAGCTTCATTTTTATCGGTGATGAATGTAGTACGGCAATAGAGCGTGATGTTTTCTCTACTCATTATTTACCAACCATACAGCTCCAAATCGGTATTCACATACACGTACTTATATATATAATGTCTCGGTTGGTGTATTCACCGTGAAATGGCTTTATTTTTCATTCTATTTCAGGATCAGACCAGACTGAGGAGAAACAGGCCATCAAGGCGTATCTACAGTGTCTGAGCGTCGATGTGGAAACAAACTTTGTCGTCAAGCTCATCCTGCAGTTCCGGAGTTATGTACGTGTCAAACATCGCTACTACTCTTCTGCATAACATATTACTCTCCAAACAGACAGTTCGGATTTGCCTTATTATGTTTACCGAAGGAAAACATATTGTTTTTGCTCAGTTTCTTCCTCTTCTTCTTCTCCAGTGACCTCTTACTTGACCAACGACATGATTTGTTGACGTCTGCCACCATGGTGACTGGTGTTGGGTTACATAATGTTGCAATTTCATGGTCCTGTCACCATATACTAGTAGTATATGGTCCTGTCACCATATACTAGTAGTATATGTATGTGAATGTGTTTGAGTAAGAACTGTCCGAAGGTAAACATTGTGCATTTGCTTTGCAAATGTTACTTCTCTAGTTTTTGGCGTGCTTTTACTGGTGTTTATTTTCTGTACTGATATCCTTTGGGTTCCAGCTCCCAAAAGATACCGGTACAGAAAAGAAAGCCCGATAAAAAAGCCTTAAGACACGCCAAAAATAAGCCAAATCTTAAATCTCTGCTTGGAGAGTACATAACCTAACATTTATGTCTTCTGGTAATAAATCCTATAACCTACCATACATGTCCGGTCTGTCGCTGAAAAAATATAACAGGTCAAGCACCTCACGTCTCCGTATTCAGAGCGGTACTGAGACCATGCATGAAATTTAAGTCCTGGGCCTTCAGACGAAGATCGAGTTTACTTTTCTAAATGGTTTTAATTTCCCCGGAGAATGGCGTAACGAACGGTACGCATTATCTTGTCCTGATCCATTATCCTGCACATATGTCTTCACATTAATGGCTTCGTCAAAAGTCTGCCGATTCTGCAAAACCCAAAATGGTTTCTCGAGTAAAAGTCCCCCTGGGAGTCACTGGGACAACAGTTAACGCCTTGCATTACGGTTGTGAATAGCTTGTTGGGTTGTAATTAGTTTTCCTTCCCTTATGCTTGATGATTAATTACGATCACCGAACGGAACAGAAGGGTCTATAGTCCGTACATCTTCGATTTTCTCTCTCTGTAACGATTCCCTGGGCGTGATGAATGTGCATTACACGGATACGTGATGTCTGCTGCTATCGCCTAAGAACATCCGGATGGTGTCTTTTACTCTCGAAATGAAGAAATCTTGCGACAAATTTGAATTTCTTACATCGAGTTTAAGACATAGATAAATGTTACGACTATTTTTACGGAGAAATGAGCATTCATTTTCTACGGGGGAGCCATATAACACGGTCTTGGTTTTTAAGCGATGTTGAACAGACGCGTTAATCTTGTTATTGTTGTTTCATCATCTATTATACAGTCTACTGTCTTGGTTGAGGGATCGGCTACACAGGAGATGTCAGTATTACGGCGGATAGGAGAATCAGGGGGTCATCAGAACATCGTCAGACAGTGTGTTATCCCGGAGATAGACGCATACAGGTGGTACGTATTTAAACTTGTCGTTTGCTGTCTTAGAGTGTGTTTTTGAAAATGTAGGTTGACCATACTACAACAGTAAAATTAGTTAAAAACGGCAACATATATCATTCTCCGTGCGGTAGAGTTAGCCTTGATGCCAATCGAGTTCTAGAAATGTAATAGTTGTGGATAAGCGGTTTTGAGTCCAAATTTGGTTTCAAGTTTCCAATATGAATGAATGACGAACTTAAGTGCAGATTTTTGTCACACTGGGCAAAATGTACAGGTCACAACAAAACATAGTGAACGGATGCAGTTAACAGATGCAAAATATTACTATCATCAGATAGCTTTCTCCAACAGTTTACTACGCACATACATTCACCGTTTCTTCCCATGTTTCAGGGTTCTCTACACTGTCTATGAGAATTGCAAATTGAAGGAGGTCATCCCAACTCTGTCATCAGAAGACCTCCTGACCATCTCATTGGACATGTCCAAAGCACTGCACTTCCTACATCAGGAAAACATTGCTCTGGGCAAGCTGACCCTCGACGGAGTACTCGTGGAGAAGGTTGGACTCACCATTCTCCCTTTACAGTGTTTACACATAGCAAAGTTATTTTTATCACAACCATTTATTTTTCACTAGCCGACGTTTCGATGACCTTCTGTCATCTTCATCAGGGCTGACTGGTTTACTGTGCACTGACACTAGACGTTACTTGGTGCATAGTGCACTAAATGTGCTACATAGCTCATAGTGCACTTAAGCTAGTCTTTTCTGATGAAGATGACAGAAGGTCATAGAAACGTCGGCTAGTGAAAAATAAATGGTTGTGATAAAAAGAACTTTGCTATTCAGACGTTTACCAACCTGATGAAATTATTTACGGAGTGTTTACACAGTTATACGTGTGCAATATTTGGTTTCAACGACATACGCAAACTAGCACTTTTCATTTTGTGTAGTGACTATTTTCCACGTTATTGCTACTATATTTAGATACGTTACGCCTCTTCAACACACATTGTAATCAAAAGTTGCAATGTTGGTAGGTTATGTACGTACATTATACAGCACACAATATGTGCTTGGACTATCTTCTAGACGTGAAAGATTGTGAATAATGGTTTTATATCTTGCAGAAAAATATTTGGTGAAGATGTTCACTTAACAGTGTACTTTTCCTCTCAGATACCCCACATAAAGGTGGTGATAGCCGATTTCACCAGTGCCAAAATCGTCGGCACGGGCGAGACCGCACAGAAGTCGTTTCAGGCAGACTTCGACGAGTGGCAGAGACTGAGGACAATGATCATCCGGAAATCCGCCTACGCTACGCTGTCCTGTCGTCTGTAGCGGTTCATCAGAGAAAACAAAACTAACCAACTTCACCCTAGTGCAAATGCTGTAACAGTCTAAATGAAGAATTTATAGTAAACTCCAAATGACACTAACTACAGTAGCACCAAAGATTCTACTATAGGAACCAAATGACTCGAGACGTAGGCGGGGCCGACCTTTCTTCATCTTTAAGAAAATGATCTAGAGGGACGTTAAGTTGAAAGACTGTGCCCTTTGGTCTGTAATGAATGACAACTTAGAAGGCCTGGGAACTTTCATATAGACAACAACGGCGTCACCCAGAGAAAGGACGACTGAACTGACTAAAAGACACTAACCACGACTCATACAATGTATGAAACTTGTCAACTTCGTATGAAGATCTCATAGATTAGACTCCATGATGTAACAACCAGTCATAACATATAACCATCTACAATTCGTGTGTAGATTCAGAGAAATCAAGAGTAGATAGTCCTATGGTGTAATAGGGCTGTAAACGGTGTTGTGCAACTGAAACAAAATGCACAGTATATGAATATCAATTGCATAGATACTACGGAATATATGGCACGTGTACCTCTACTGACCATTACTGACAAACTTACAACATAAACTTTACTTGTTACAAACACAACTGCTGAGCTGTATTATTATTCCCCATAGATCATGAACATAAACTGGAGATCATTTTGAAATACTAAGTGACCACACCTTATTGTAAATATGACTTCCGAATTCCCAATATGTATGTTTGAGACATAATCCAAATGCTGCTAGGTATAGACTAGAATGTATAAGACTGCAATATTTGTGCCATCGAGGTTTAGGTCTCTGTATAGTTTGTGGTACAAATGGATTGTAATATCATTCATGCTATGCTATGAATTAGACGTATATGTTCAAACGCTCATATTATGAATACCATAATTTAGCTGGTTTATCGATGTAAAAGGTTTGTAGTCTAGATCGTCTCCCAATAGCAGCTTCAATTTAGAGGAATGTTGTTATAATGTCATTGATGTTTGCTTGCAGTGAATAATAAATGTTGTGATACACAACCAAACGAAGGACAAATACAAGATTCTCTGAAAATTAGATTAGTTTTCATGGTTGCTGTCAAGGGAATTTGAAGAGAATACCATATCTCTAACATTATTTCATTCAAACCAATGCTAATAACATGTAAAATAATTATTGTGATTTTCCAGTATGTGAAGTTCGCATCTTTTATGCACATTAATTGTGGTATTATGAAAATAGCTTGTTTAAGTGATTTCCTATACCCAATAAATAGCCAGTCACTGCCAATGCGTATATTACGTTTGCCATCGCGATAGACCTGTCAAAAATCCATGATATTTTTCGAAAAGCAATATTCTGATTTCACACTGCAGATTTGCGTCTAACACGAAGTGTGGTGTCTCTGACAAAGATGTGGTAGAAATTGTACATCAAAGTTGGCATTAATTAAAAGTGTTGGGTTTAGCTTAACAAGTCTGTCCACTATGTTGTGATGTATATAAACTGGCTAGATTATAATTACACCGAATGGTGAGCTGGAATGGTATGGAAATAAAACAAAATGTCAAGATCTGTGTGTTGAATGCAGTATGGCAGCTGGAAGGAAATTTATTATAGTCTTTATGCTTAGGTCACATTTCCAAGCCGGGGCCCGGCCGGGCTGTTTGTATGAACGAAAAATCAACAATTCTTATCAGGAATATACACAAATTGTACTCATGATTATCCTTTTAACTTTTTTTATGCTCTGTTGTCTTTTGTATCGTACATTTCGTTCCAAAAGACTGCCCTGCCGGGCCCCGGTTTGGAAATGTGACCTAAGCATTAGCAAGTAGCGTTGATCCGTGTTGTCTTTAGCATAAAAAAGGCACTGGTCCGTGTTGGCTGTAAAGTCTTTATTGGCATAACTTAATCATATCCGTTAACCCGTATAGAAAATAAAAAATGTGCTTCTCTCTTTTATGGTTGCTGCCTGGTTCTTTTCATGAGACCGTAAGAGTTGTCGTGGATGCATCGTCTACATTTTATATCAAGCGCTCTATAAAGTCATAGTAATATCAAATTTACTAAATGGTGTAGTGTAAAAAAATACATACACGCAACTAGAAAGTAACGTTTGCAAAGCAACTGCATAATGTTTACCTTCGGACATGGTCTGCTCTGTTAATTCTTACTCAAACACATTCACATACCTGTACTAGTGCTAGTATATGGTGACAGGAGCAGAGCAGACCATGAAATTGCAACATTATGTAACCCAACACCAGTCACCATGGTGACAGACATCAACAAATCATGTCATTGGTCAGGTCATAGGTCACTGTTTGGAGAAGAAGAAGGGGAAGAAACTGAGTAAAAACAATATGTTTTTCTTCGGTAAACATAATAACGCGCATAGCCTTGTCCTCAGACTAAGTCTAGCCTTGATTGTAAGTGTCCATTGAACGTTGTGCATTTGGACAAGGCCTGAGAGAGAAAAAGACTGTCATGACTGTAGAGAGACAAAAGGCACTGTAGGGTTCTTCTGAATCTGTCTCTATTTTGGGTCAGAACAATAGCAAGTATTTTGGATATTATTTGTTCCTGACAAACAGTAAGAACAACCATAAGGGACCTTCCAAACAACACATTTTTTCAGTATCTTTATAAAGATTTAGATTGAACTTGTAGTTGGCTCAAATGATGTTTATCAATACTCCACCTTGTTGGCTACAAGAAATATTTTGTTGAGATGACATGTCGAGACTTTGGAGTGCAAGCTTATAATTCAACCTCCCATGACGAATTATGCCAGGTGAGCTGTTTTGTAGTCTCCTCTCGTTACCCGTGCACTGCTTCCGTAACGATTCCACGGCCTGGGATCGACATCTAACCACCTTCGAGGTTACCTGCGAACTTGTAGACAATGAAAATTAATGGTCCAAGCTGGCGTCAAATTTCCCTGTGGGTCTGGCCGTTTGAAATGTCGTCCTTCGGGCCTTCTCTGTGGTTGAAAGTATAGAACTGGGCACATTTCACCAAAACATAACTTCTTTGCGCGGTTGGCTTTTTCAGTTGAAAATTGATCAGGATACTTGCATTGATATATGGCGTGAGTGGAAAGAAGTGTATACAGTATACAAAATAAAACTGTATCTAGACTTAACAAATATGAAATAGGATACTAAGAACGGCTACTACTGTAGAAACTTGTTCGGCATGGTTATATGAATGCAAATTAATTCTCTGTTTTTAGTAGTAAAGATGTTTCAGAGTATGCAATCAGTCACAGGGAGTAAAACTATAACCCCACAAGCTGATAAAAAGTAACGTATGTTTTTAAAGACTTGCTTAACTGGCTTAACAGGCTTAGAGAGCAATTTTCTACATTTGCTTCGCCTGACCAGAAGTGTTATTACCGCAATAAAGTGAATTTTAAGGACGCATACCGGCCAATCTCTGATTTACTTGCGTGAACGGTACACTTAAATTCCTACACTTTATGTATTTTATCGTTGTTTTTGCTGAAACTCACGGGCCATAATTACGAAAACCCCAGCAATTTCACACTCCCGTTTACGACATTGTGCCTGAACTTGTAAAATCCATCAATGACTCTTTAAAGGAATTACTACAACACCCGTCACACGGTGCCATTTATAAGCATCTTTTACTGTAAATTGGCAGAGGAAGAGCCATACCGATCAAGTCTGATTGCACCAGACTTTCAGAAATGTATGAATACGCCTTTATAGTGTCTGATTCAATGGTTCCTTATGTATTACTATACACGGCGCATCGCGTTCAAGGCGGGCAATATCAGCCTCTGATTAGAAGTGACCTTTGGCTTATCTACATTAAGATGAAAGCGTGAATGCCACGGCTGAGGCTCGCGGCTTCCCGCCAGAGAGTTCCTCCAGCCGACCGTGTAATGAGGCAATTACCGCGGGCTGATCACCGCCGGCGTGCCCCCGCCGGCCGGGAGGGGCGCGGAGGTTGCACGTGATTCCACCGGCAGCATATGCAAAATATCCGAGCCGCTAACATGCACGTGACATACAAGTTAACTTGCCTCTAGCATGTACACCAGGCTTGGGGAGGCGGCTGGAAAGAGTAGAAATCGGCCAAATAGAGAGATAAGCATGCCAAGGGAGTTGAGTCCGTTGAGAGAACATTTCGTTGGGGTGAGGCAAAATGTTCTCTCAACGGACAAACTCCCTTGGCATGCTTATTTCTCTATTTGGCCGATTTCTACTCTTTCCAGCCGCCTCACCAAGCCTTGTAGAGGCTACAAGTTAACAGGATCCGGAAGAGTAGGCATCCCAGGACAGGAAGCTGTTGGGATGCGTACCTTCAGCTGATAAAGAAAACACGCCTTTGTAATTGTGCGCTTTATATATAATTTAACACCGATTGCGTTAAATTATACAATTTAATTACTATTTAGTTAGTATACAATTTAACGCAATCATTAAATTGTATAAGGCCATGTTGATTTGATCATATGGATGACATCCGCGCGCGCATGAATTTTCGGCCGTTTCCAAAAAAAAAAAAAGTTTCCAACCACACTGTAAATTGTACAAAACATTTGCAAAATGAGCAAATATATACCGAAAGTTGCAAAAAAAATATTTGAAAACGATTCCAACGTCGTAGAATGTCAAAATCAAACAAAAAACTAAAAAGGAAAGAAATGAATTCAAAGAGGAGATTATTCGCCATACCATACTCTGTGTCATTTGTTCGACCTTCATAACAACGTAGATTTCATGAAAGCAACTTTTTTTTTTTTGGCAAAACTTTTTTTTTATTCGCGCGCTCGCATCAGTTTTGGGGTTCCCAGAGGATGTCATCCATATAATCAAATCAACATGGCCTAACTTTCGAATGATTATTCAGCAAAGCTATCATCATCAACAAAGCTATAAAACCATAAAGGAGTGACAAATAAATGTTTTAAGGTAAGTGTACCAACCTCGGTGGCGGTGGGGTTGACGTCATACATGGTGTACAATCGGGTCTTCACGTTGACATGGTTGAGGACAGAACGCGGTACGGTTAACAGGTCAGTAGCGTCACCTGGCGGGACATGGTGGAATGGTAACTTACCGTCAGTGTTGGATGATGGTTTATCTCCTACCCTGCTGGGTTATCTTTTATAACGTAGGAAATTACAACGAGGGCCCAATATGTACAAACCCAACATGCGTTAACCAAGGGCATACAAATTAAAACGCATTCATTATTGTTAGGTTCTTCCCCATGCACACTATAAAAACAACTGTGTAAAGTTAGCTGGAAAGCTATGATAATATTTCCATATTTTGTTCATTCAAATAAGTAGCTTGAACTTCAACTTGCACAAAATCAAAAAAAAATATATGACAAAAATCTCTCCACAGCTTATTGGTCCTTAATTATATATGGACCCATTCCTATGCCTCGACATTATTATTTTTAAAATTTAAATCCCCCCCTCCCCCTCTACTAGTTCCCCCTTCCCGCATCATCCTAAGATTTCTCACCACGTTTCTTTAACCTGGTGCCCGGCTCTCTGACCGCAGTCCCTCAACGGGCGCATCTAGTTTGAGCTTATTAAACAGTGGAGCTGAAAAGCAGGACGACATACTCCTGTACGGCACAACTTTACCAGTTCAAGCAAATTTCGCATTTCGCGCGCTGGCCCAGCTCTCAGTTATCCAACACAATCTCGCAGGAAAGGGCGAGACTTTAAACTGGAAGGTCTATTTGCAATTGATAGGTAGGGCGATAATTATACCTCATTTGTATAGGTGATTTTAGTCTTTTAGCATGAAACTATAAATATTTTAACCGATAATATACTATTTAATGATATGTTTTTGTGATTTTTGTGTTAAGTAGTTGTGAATTTTTCCTTCTAATTTTCTTTTAAAATGTTGTCAAAAAACGAACCCCCCATAGGTAATGTAGCTGTCCTGCGCACAACCTCTGCGCAGTAGAAACACATGTGGGTACAGCTTAGGAGATTTTCGTGCAGTATTAGGTAAGGTAATCCTGTCATTTTCTTGTGATATACATAAATATTTTCACACTAAATATATGTGTGACGTTCTACGTACCCGTGAGCTTCTGTTGTGTGAAGAAAACGCCGTGTTCTTGTTTAGAAGATTCATAAAGTTCGATTTTTCTGAGAAGATCACGCTGTGCACTGTGACCTTCGCAAATTCACATGGTACCTCGATGATGACATCTCACTTCTTTCCGTAGAATTTGAGCCAAAATGAGCAAGGAAAAGCTTGGAGACCTGGCCGGGAGGATGGGGAAGGCGCCCAAGGGTCTGGGGACGGGGATGAAGCTCCTGGCCGCCGCTGCCGCCCTGGGCTACGGTGTGCAGCAGGCCATGTACACAGGTAAGACTGTGGGAGGGGGGCGGCTAGCTGCCATGCTTTGAAAATATTTCATCATGCTCTCTTGGTAGGATTTCCAAACCACAATCACGCTAAAGAAAAATGACCCAAACCTTTCACAGAATTAATGCTGAGTTTAGGTGAATGTCTTACTAATTAGTAATAGGTTGGCGTTGGTTAGTTAGGCTGAAAAATATTTCTATTGTCTAATTTACTCTAAATATAATATACGTATTTCTTTCTTTGCAGTGGATGGTGGTCATCGTGCCATCATCTTCAGTAGGATAGGAGGTATACAGGACAGTATCTACACTGAGGGACTCCACTTCAGGTGTGTGCAATGTCACCTTGGGGACCATACTGTACACATAGTTTCTAACTAATCTAAGGCTTTCAAATGTAAAGCCAGTTTTTCATAATACCATGCATATAACAATGCAATGCATCACATCAAATTTTCAAAAGATGCATTTGTAATTTGAATTAGGGTTTATTTTAGTCACTTAAGAGTCAAAGACTGAAAACCATTCAATGTATCCCATAGACCACATCATATTCTCTGTGAAGTTTCTAACAGTAACACCTTGAAGTACTTTATAGTGTATTCTTTCTTGGAAGTTTACAAAACCTCTAGTCATGTAAAGTACATGTTATAGTAAAAATGCTGTTGATGCTGATGGTAAAATTCCCACACTTTTCCCCAGAATTCCCTGGTTCCAGTATCCCATCATATACGACATCCGCAGCAGACCACGTATTATATCATCCCCTACTGGCAGCAAGGGTAAGCAATGCAAGAAGTTGGAATGAATTAAAACATTTTTTCTTAGTTTATAAGAGGGAGTAGGTAAGATCCTGATACCTTTTCTAACCTCCTCTTTATGAAGGTTAGCTTTTGGTACCAGCATTTTAAAAAAGATGCATTTTCTATAATCTTTTTCACCAGATCTGCAGATGGTGCAGATTTCCCTCCGTGTTTTGCACCGCCCCAATGCCCTGATGCTTCCACGTATGTACCAACATCTGGGATTGGACTACGATGAGAGGTTGCTCCCTTCAATTGCCAATGAGGTGAGTCCTTCTGTAGATTTCAATCACACCAATACATTTTTGTTTCATCTTCTCACCTATGAAATGTGTTGAATGCGTTAAGTTTTCTGATGGCATAAACTAGAATTCTCATGTTGCATTTGCTTCTCACAGGTTCTTAAGAGTGTTGTGGCTAAGTTCAATGCATCTCAGCTCATCACACAGCGTCAACAGGTAAGTCTACACCTGTAGAAAACTGTCTGCTCTAGAAGAGAAAGAACACAGTTAAAACACACCATTGCAAATTTAGATAACATTGTTAAAGGTTGAGGGTGGAAACTTGTGGGGTCGTGTAGCGTAGCGGCAGAGTGCGCGACTCGGAACTGAGAGTCCCGGGTTCAAGTCCTGACATGCCACCGATCTTGTGCCCTTGGGAAAGGCTTTCCTCACTTAGCTCAGGTGTAATTGAGTATTGTCCTGTCATGTATTCGTCCCCTGTGTTGGTGGTGGCATTAATATACTAGTAAGTTGAAGAAACTTGAGTGTGTCGTCACCACGTCTGGTGATTACATGTTGGAATACAATGTTTTAAAAAAATTGTACTATTTAGTATGAGCTTTACTTATTTGTTTATGTACTTTTTGTAGGTGAGTCTTTTGGTTAGAAGGGAGCTTACAGAGAGAGCAAAGGACTTCAATGTGATCCTGGATGATGTGGCCATCACTGAACTGTCCTTCGGAAAGGAGTACACAGCTGCTGTGGAGGCCAAGCAAGTTGGTGAGTACGCTTGTTACTCTGTAATATACTGTATTAGCTTGTAGTGTATTGTTGTGGTTGAAAAAAAAATTACTGCAAACCAGGTATTCTATCTGTCAGAGATGTGTCAATATACCTTCAATCAGTTTTACTGAGGGTAATTCTTGACTGTCTTTTGAATCTATGTGTTTCTTCCTGCACTTCCACCACAGCTCAGCAGGAGGCGCAGCGTGCACAGTTTATTGTGGAGAAGGCCAAGCAGGAGCGTCAACAGAAGGTGGTCCAGGCTGAGGGTGAAGCCCAGGCAGCTAGGATGATATCCTTTCTCACAGAACGAACCTGGGACTTGCCAAGGGCTATACTAGTTCAATTTTTTTTTTTTTACATTCCAACATTTCATGACTAGACATGGTGACAGCACACTCAAGTTATATCAACTTATTTTATGCCGCCACCAACGCAGAGGACAAATACAGGACAAGACAATGCTCATTTTCCAAGGGCACAAGATCGGTGACATGTCAGGACTCGAACCCGGGACCTCGTGGTTCCGAGTCGAGCACGCTGCCGCTACGCCACACGACCCCACAATTGTTACTAGTATTCCTTTTTTCCTACATCTGTGAAACTGTTAGTTATCTAAAACTTTCATAGCTCAGTTTTGCTAGTTACCTGCATGTAACTGGCTAGCAAAACTGAACTATGATACCCTGCATGTAACCTTTTGTCATCTTTTCCATCAGACATGTGCACGATTTACAATTATATGTTATGTGACATACAAATGACATATAAGCATTGCTCTCTGTGAAAGCAAGGTTTATTAAAATTGATCTGTTGAATCCTTAACCCTATATGTACATTGGTGAGGCCATTTCTCAGAACCCTGGGTACCTGAAACTACGGAGGATCCGAGCTGCTCAAAGCATCGCCAGAACAGTAAGCATTTTTTCCTGTGTTATTCTTCAAATATATACTGCACATCATTTATCTGACTCAATATATTTATCTGATATTGGTGAGCTGTTGTGAACATGTCATGTTGTTTCTACAGATTTCCCAGTCTCAGAACCGAGTGTACCTGAATGCGGCCTCTCTTATGCTGAACCTTGGAGAGGACGATTTGAAGGCGTAAGTTTGAAACTACCATACTTTTTGCTCTTCCTCTACTTTTCATTCTTAGAAAGTTTCTTGAGTGCTTCTGTAATGTTTAGTAAATTAGGCACATGCAAATAATTTCCTAGGCAATAGTTGAAGAAACAATTAGTCATTGTCTGTTTATCGGCTAAGGGTACTAAGTCCATCATGAAAATATTCAGATGTTTTGCCTTTGTGTCTATTAAGTTTCAGTGCTCTACAGGAGGCTAGGGAAATCCTAGGCATGTATATGGGAAGTTCTAAATGGCTGAATGTTTCTGACATTTTATTCATTACTTACACCTTTTATTTTTCTTTACAGGTCTGCTGAAGGCTTAAGGAAGAAGTAGTGAGACTTCATCCTTGTGACTTCTGTATACAGATTCCCATTCCTGAGTTCTACATTCATTAGTCTTTAGGCAGTACTATTGCGTCAGGTCATCAGTTTTGACAACATAGCTACTCATACTGTGTAGGCATATGCATACAAACTTAAACAGTGTTTGCTACACTGTTGCTGTATAATACTTTATATCACTCAGGTGATCATGCTAAATACTCAAGTCAAAATGGTTGGAATATTATGGCTCTTGGCGTGACTGATACACTGACTTCTTCATATCTTAAAGTGAATAGGAATCCTTGACAGATATAAGATGGATCTTTTATGTCAAAGGAAATTTTGCATTGTCAAGACTTAGTGTCATTAAGACTTAAGAGTCAGAATGAGTATTGTATTAGATATATCCCTGTCTGAAGTTACTGCACATCTATTGAGACTTTGTGACAATGTGTGGTAGGGTCAAAATCATGAATAAACCATGCCCATTGGAACCCTATGTTTACTTTTGAGTTCCTCTTTAATTTCATTGAAAGAATTCAGCATTCAATCTAGATAAAGCTCTTCTTTGAACCAGCCACAGAAATAATGAATGCCAGGCATTTTTTTTGTCCCTTAACTCAGTTTCAGGATCTACAGAATACAGAAACTAGTGCCATCCTTATGACAAAAGTCATTACTTGGAACGTATGAAAGTTGTTGAGTATGGTCATCGTTTTCTAGGAAGAAATGACAGTATTAGTTACAAAACAATCCAATGCTATCTAGAGTTTCAAAAATTATACATATCATTTCTTAAACTCTCAACACATTTTATGCACAACACTGACTAAGTAGTGTTTATAGAGACCCAAAATAGATATTTTACATGCATGCGCAAGTAAGTCAAAGATATTTCCAGCATAAACATGACTCTGGTAAGTCATATTTAGGTACTAGTACTTTGTAACCTTTGATGTGAGCAACATCATTTACGTACATCTAAACTAATGACTTGGACGGTAGAAAATAATTCTCATGGCTATTATTATATTCCATACATGTAGCCGTCAGTCACTTAAGAACTACCCACCTGTCATCTGATTTCTATCTCTTCCTATCCCTCACCTAAACACATGTGACATACTCGAACCGTTGATGAGCCACCCCCCTCCCCCCAGAGCCTACTCGGTTGCCATTATTGATGACTAGTGACAGCATGTCGTGCGGAGGTACTCCGATAATAGCTTTGTCCGTTTTTATACGGGTCCCGGTGAGGGTCTTCAGTAGATAAAAGCTGAATTCTGTACACCCGCGCCCTTTCATGGATGCTGATCGTCTCTAGAATGCAAATATCGTAGTTAAACATCCTTATAGGTAAAAAAATGACCGTAGCCACGTTCCAGCAAATGAAGACGGTGTTTCTGCTGCTCATTTTGTTCACTGCGACACCTGTATTCTTAATGATCCGGAGCACAGATCGGAACAGGTCAGTAAATCCTTGGCGTTTTACAGTTCACTTTTGCAGCAGACGACTCTATTTTTGATGTTACCATTTTCAACATGTGTGGATTATTAACTCTGGGAGCGTACAACTAGTATATTTCCCACGGTACCTTTTGGAAAGTGCCTAATAACGACGGACTTGGGCAATAGCCAGGTGCGTCCAGTGTACTTTATGATACGCCAGGTTCACATCGATATATCGTTGCATATCCCAATTCATAATGTAAAGTTCTGGCTTTTAATTAGTTATATGTATACAGCTCTTTTTTTCTTTGCCGTACATGTATGTTCTACAGTATTGCTTAACACTGTGGTTTTCCATGTCACCACATACAAAAATATGTGGTTTTCCATGTCACCACGAACAAAAATATTTTTCTATCATAGCACATCACCCAAACCGACCTGGGATGACCACAACACTTTAACTCGACAGAAAACGCACGATAGATCGAAGAACACTGGAAGAGACTTGAGGAAACCGCTAGACGAATGGGAGCAGGATGACACTGCAGCGTTTTTCAGGCAGCTAGCCCTCAACCGTCGTCCAAAATTTGCGCAGGGAGCTCCAAATTTTGTGAAACGTGTGAACAAGTTCGACCTACAGCCAAAGCGTAAGATAAAGTCTATCGTCAGGAAGGTTCCCATCGTTAACGTGAAAAGAATCGACTCGATCCTGGAGGACAAGACTGTATGGGCCGACAACCAGACTTTGGAGAGAATAAGGTAGGAAGCTTCTAACAATGATCGATAATACATTTGTAGCCTGCATTTCATATGCACATGGCGCATGATAATACTTCCTCACAGGTACTATGTGATTCTAAGTACATTGGACAGTTTTACGACAGCTGCGTGTATATCACTGATGCAGATTGTGTCAAATATCTTGCATGCATTTAATCTTTTATCATTTATTAATAGTTTCCTACTTTTTGCAAACCTTTCTGTAGAAGGATGATGAAAAGGAATGTAACGTTGACTTGATCGAGAGCTGCTAATCATAAAAACCAATAGATTTATAAAAAATATTAGTCCTTCGTTGCACTCGCAAAAGTCTTTTGTTTGAATGTAACGTCGTTTGCTGAGTAACTTCATGTTACTACATTCTTTCTTACTGTTTTACAGGAAGTATGCTTTCCGTTTGAGGACTGAAAGAATGACAAGATTGGAAATGACAGGAACGGGGAAGAACAAAGACATTCTTCTCTGTGGAGGAATGTCAGCTAGGCAATGTTCCCTCCACAAAAAGAACGAAATACGTCATTATAAGACTTGTGCAGTGGTTGGTAATGGCGGCATACTGACCGACAGCCTTTGCGGCGCGGAAATTGACTCTCGTGATTACGTCATTCGCTTCAGCCTCGCTCCCGTCTCGGGGTACGAAGAGGATGTCGGGACAAAGACTAACCTAACCGTCATGAATGTTCAAATTATCTACAGAGTGGTGCAGAGTCAAAAACTCATCAGTACAAGAAACGTATACTCACCGAGGCTAAAAAGATTGAATGGGACAACTTTTTTGTTCTTTAGTAATGCATATGAGAAAAGACTTCTCTTCAAGCAGTTCTTCAGGGCTGTTCAAGCAAACAAAATATCCGTAACGGTCAATTATGTCAGTCCCAAAAGTGACGTAAAAAGGTAGGTTGATCTATTTCTATATGCTTGATTGACAGCTACTACATGGAGTCATATACATTTCTTCCGTATCCATAGCATTATCCAATAAGATTTGCAGGAATTACGTAAGTAACACGTTACGTGTTTTTCTTGATAAGTCTGCTCTCTTGTGCTGGTAAAGTAACTCAGACATGATCTTATTCACCTACTGCTCAAAAAGTCGGATTTACCAAATTGTTATTGTAGAACAGAACTAGTAAAGTCGGTTAATGTTTATTTTGTACACAGTACCTGGCTTTACAATCATGGTTGCCAATAAAAAATCAAGTACGTTAATTTCATTTACAACCCTTGTTAAGTCCTAAATCACCGTACTTGTGTACTTGACTTTTATTGACTACCATTGTATGCTCCAGTACTGTTTACAAAGTAAACATCACCCGACTTTACTGATACTTACTACCATTGGTAAATCCAACTTTTCGGGCAGTGACCACCACAGATTTTTTATACATATTCCAACATGTAATCACAAGACGTGGTGACGGCACACTCAAGTTTTTCAACTTATATTAATGCCGGCACCAACACGAGACAATCCAATACTCATTTTCACCTGAGTTAAGTGAGGAAATTCATGTTAAGTGCCTTTCCCAAAAGCACAAGATCGGTGGCATGTCAGGACTCGAACCCGGGACCTCTTGGTTCCGAGCCAAGCACGCTGCCGCTACGCCACACGACCCCACAGATTCGAACTTTAATTATGCATTTCTTTCTCTCCGTAGCATCCTAAGAAAGATCTTCCCTGGCTTAAGCAGACATCTTGGCACAGTCATGACAACTGGACTGACGGCTGTCATCGCAGCTACCAACTTTTGCGATGAGATATTTCTGTACGGGTATTACCCGTACAGGACCGCACCTAGGGGAGACCGGACACTGAGATACCATTACTACCCTGATGACTACATCCAGCCTGTGGTCATGGACAAGATACATAACTTCACTACTGAGTACCTGATTCTGAAAGAGCTGGAGAAAAGGGGCGTGGTGACTCTGATAACTGACAGGTGTCAGCTGCCTGTTTCGCTGATAAACATTCAAGATTTAAGACTTTAGACATTAGGCTGGTGTGTTACGCCGAATGGCGGTTATACTGACTATACCGATAGAGATACAGAAGACAGTTAATAAGAAGATTTAATGCATAAGAAATCAATAAATGTGGTTAAGAAGCAAGAAAACAAATAATTGAGTTACATATTTTGTTGCCATACATGCAGCTGAACACGTGGTGCATTGTGTCAAATCATCTTGTAAACAATCTGAAAGCCGCCGTTCCTTGTTCAACATATGTATGTATCTATAACACCAATACGGTCGACCGATGATGATGTAACTTGTTATCTATAGCAAACGATCAAATACTACACTAAGCAGAAAATTAAGTTGTCGGCAAACGACGTTAAATGTAAGCGTTTGATTAGGCCACACCGAGTTAATTTTATGGATGACTTCCACGCGCGTTCACATCCAGTTCGTACATGGTAGCTAGCGACATTACGGAGCCGGGCACCCATGGCACCCAGGCTGCCGAAACTCCACGACTCAAGAACTCATACGTACATGTACAGTACCGATTCATCAATTCTGCAAAAAGCCAGCATGTGCCGGCTTGTCGTATACATTGCTATGTACTGCCGCAAAATCACAATAGTCAATACCAGTTTTGTATTCCTATGGTTAAGTAGCATTTTTATTTTTGGCCGGAATTGTTTTTTTATTCGCCCGCGCGCACTAGTTTGGGCGTCTTCAGAGGATGTCATCCATAAAATTAACTCGGTGTGGCCTTAGTAATACCAAATATCGCGTGCATCGCGTGCGTTATATGCATAGAATGAGTTACACACAGGAAAATTAGTCGTATGAATGCCAGGGAGGCCATGATAGAATAATAATCAACCGTCGTCAAGGATCAACAAAAACATTTCCGTTACGGATGTCCTACGAACGTCATCAGTTTGCTGACGTCATCAACATGGCGCAGATGTGATAAGATAAGAATGATTTGAAGTGACAACTGAAGGCTTACGTACATCATGTAGAAAATATCACAAAAGCCATGAAGTTGCAGACGTCATGAACATGTTGTACAATGAATGCCTCTGAATGTTACCGGAGTTCAAATATTGATAACAATTGAGCACTCCGCAACATTTAAAAAGATTTTAACTGACAAACGAAGGCTTACGTGCATCACGTGGAAAATACCACGAATGCCATGAAGTTGCTGACGTCATGAACATGTTATACGATGAATGTCACCAGAGTTGTAATACTGATGAGAAATGAGCAGTCGGCAAGATTTAAGATGATTTTGACTGACAGTGACAGCCGACGGCTTACGTGCATCACGTAGAAAATATCACGAATGCCATGAAGTTGCAGACGTCATAAACATGTTGTACAATGAACGTCTCTGAATGTCACCGGAGTTGTAATATTGATAACAGATAAGCAGTCAGCAACATTTCAGAAGATTTTAGCTGACAACCGAAGGCTTACGTCTTTTACGTGGAAAATACCACGAATGCCATGGAAGTTACTGACGCCATCAGCATGTCATACGATGAATGTCACCATAGTTGTAATACAAATAACAAATGAGCAGTCCGCAAGATTTAAGGTGATTTTAACTGACAATCGAAGGCTTACGTGAAAAATAGGACGACTCAATGAGCCTCAGGAGTGCGACTGCTACATACATTTGTACATTCCCGGGATCAATATCAAATCTCAAGGGTGTACTTGCGTGTGGGATTGAGAAAAGGACCTTAACTATTCACGACATTTGTTAGGATTACAGCTAATGCGAACTGACAGTGTTGTACATCTGGCATGTATTATTCATAGTGATGTACTGTTGTGACGCATGGGTTGGAACTGGTGGTCTGTGAGCTATGGTCTATGATTCTTCCTGTTGTCAGTCTTGTTTAGATTCTACCAGACACAAAATACGGAACGACGCAAATGACTACCGGTTGTATCAATGCTCCATAGATACGCAGTTAAACGCCGTTTATTAGGCATCAATTAGAACGGATCATTGAGCTCAGACGTTTGGGGGCCTCTCGGATCACCAGCTGTTCTTATTCTGGGTAAAAAGGTGACTGCAAAGCCTCATTGAATACCGTAAGAGGATTATAAGATATACGAGATTCGTATTTCTTAAGAAGTTATAATGCTCTTGTTATGATACAGAAGTAAGACATACCAGGCCTCTACTTGAAAACACTCACCAATGATATGATATGCTATTGATTTATTCAAGGGGATTTGTATATTTGTCTGTTTCATTGTGTTGCCAAGACTATGTACCTTCCACTTAACCGATATCTTATTTCATTTTAGTGATAATTTGAACATATTTCGTTCATATTTCTCACGTTAACGTTGTTGTCACAGACGTTTTTGCGTACTATGATATGCTATTGATTTATTCATTGGGATTCGTATATTTGCCTGTTTCAATTGTGTTGCCAAGACTATGTACCTTCCACGTAACCGATATCTTATTTCATTGTCGTAATAATTTGAACATATTTTGTTCATTCCTCGTGTGAACGTTGTTGTCAAAAACGTCTTTGTATACTATGATTAAGTACGAGTAGTCTTTTTTCCAGCAGTTGAATAACTTTTCAAAACGTCATGTTCAAGATGGATAGACATACTCCACAAGGCACGGACCGACGCTATCCTCAGCCATGGAGAAACGTGTTTCTGTCGTTGGGTTTGTTTTCCGTGACACCAGTTCTGATTCTTCTGTTGACAACTGACATTATCAGGTGAGAACTTCGAAAAGTGGCAAATGCTTAATGTTTACCTTCGCATATGGTCTGCTCTGTTAATTCTTACTCAAACTTATTCATATATATGGTGCCGGGATATTCATATATATATGGTGTCTAAATGCCTCCTGCTATAAAATGACAACATGATGTAACCCAGCACTAGTTACCATGGTGACAGACGTCTGGTTCAGGTCATTGACCGTATTGGTTTGGAGAAGAAGAAAAAGAGGAAACAGAGCAAAAACAATATGTTTTCCTTCGGTAAACATAAATATAGACCCCTTCAAGAATGTTGTACTATAATGTATATTATCTTAAATAGCAGCTTTATCCTGATGTAGCAAAATATGTCCCACGTGCACATTAACACATTAGCCATAATTAGTAGTGATAGTTAAGATAGGCATCCCTCAATAGATCAAAAAAGGTATATGCCATAACATACACTTTTCTTCAACCAATAGCACTGCCCCTCGAGCTGTCCTGGACTTCATCAACGATACCTCAATGGAGTTCTCCAGAAGTCATTGGAGTATTCACCACTCCATTCCGAAACCAGCGTTTCACATTCCGCCTGCTGCCTTAAACCCTTCAGACAAAGTTCCCAAGATCGGCAAGCCCAAAAGAAAGAGTTCGCTTAAATTGCACAAAGCTGTGCTTAAAAGAAACCGCGTGTCGCCCCATCACCGTGTGTCCTCTGGCCTTGTTACTCTTCAAAGAATCAGGTAACGTCATATCAATTCTACGTTGTTTGATCCAAGCGTATGCTGGAATACAATTACGGTAAACAAAGAAACGATTTGTCTTTCATGTAATATAAAGTTGTCAGTCGGGTAAGATTTTCGATGAGGTAAAACGTAATGTAATCAGCAGCAGGTGAAAATTCCTTCCTTTATCGCATTTTCGTTTTTCAGTCGAATTTCTATCAAACGACTGTATATGCATCCTACACTACGTTACTGAACACACAGGAGAAATACGACAAGAAAATTACCTTTCTGAAATACACAATTTTGAAGTTCGTAGATCGATTACAAAGATGAGAATTTCTAGTCATAAATTGAATATAGAATTAGGAAGATATAAAAAATTCCTCGCGACCAGAGGTTTTGTCCATTCTGTCCCAATGGATATGGAAGACGAACAACATTTTATTTTGATTTGTACACTATATGACAATAAACGCACAAAGCTGTTCAACCTTCTCTCCGCCTGCTCAACAGAATTTGTTACATTTCATGCTATAGATAAATTTAATTTCATCCTAGAAGGTAATAACCCTTACTGTGTAAAAATAGGTAAATATATTAAAGAATGTTTAGACTTAAGAACAAGTAGTATTAGTTAACTCATCTACTGTTTTTATACATAAATTAATTTCGTATTACCCCTGTATATTTGTCTGTATATCTACTTGCAGTCTTAGACCTTACGAAAGTCGCTGCACTTTTGTTGTGTCAATAAAGTTATTCTTCTGTATCTTCTCCCTCAGGACTGCGGCTGTCTCCATCGGACCCACCTACTTCACCACAATAACAATGGATGAGCGGGGAAACATGGCGGAAGAGCCTGCACATGCGTGTTCCTGGCACGGACAGAACCCCTGTGTCCCAACCAATGAGCAGGACTCTGGCCGGTTCGGCACATGCGCAATCGTGGGCAGCGGTGACATCCTAACCGGCAGCCTTTGCGGCACAGACATCGACGCTAACGATTACGTCATACGGTTTAACCTCGCTCCCACAATCGGTTATCAACTAGATGTCGGCAGCAAAGCAAATCTAACCATCTTGAACAAAGAGATATTAGATAAAGTCAAAGCAAGCTTTGAATCTAAAGACTCGAAGAGGTTTGCAAATAGACTGCAGCAAATGAGGACAAGTGTTTTCCT